TTAAAAGTCTTTTAAATATTTTAAAAGCCTTTTAAAGTTTTGAAAAGTCTTTTAAAGTTTGCAAAAGTCTTCTAAAAGTTTCTAAAAGTCTTTTAAAGTCTTCTAAAAGTTTTTAGAATGTTTTTTCTTGCATTTGAAAGTTTTTAAAAGTCTGTAAACGTCTTTAAAAGCCAACTCTGTCGAAAAAGCCCTGTGGATCTAAACCTTGTGGTTCTGGTTCGGTGCAAAGGGGCAATGAAAAAATGACAAGTACAATAACAGCAATAGTCATAGTAGCATTAATAGGGCTGTACTTCAAAACCTTTTTAGACGAAGGTGCTAAACCCTAAACCCCCAACCCCTACATCCCGAGACTCTAAACCCTCAACCCTAAGCCCTAAACCCTAAACTCTAAACCTATACCCTAAACCCCAAACCCTAAACCGTGGTGCGGGCTTCGTCCCTGCTAGGTAGGAGGGAAAAAGAACCCTAAACCGGTTTTTAGACGAAGGTGCTTGAGAAGCCGGTGGAGAACCTCTCTGCCGGGCGAGTCGAAGCCCTGGGCTGAGCTAGAAGTTGACCCAACCCGAAAGGCCCGGAGAGTCTTAGAGGGATCCTTTAAGGGTTCCTTACACGGAGCTATAAGGGCTCTAAAAAGGCTTCAGGGTTTAGAGTTTCCGAAAATAGCAGGCCCTAATCACAGCTACTATAAAGTTTCTTGGCTTGAGTCCGAAACCTGTCAGCTTTAAACCGGTTTCTTTAAGGGCTTCTATGATGGATACCATAAGGTTGCTTTAAAGGCTACTCTAATGAATACTATGAGCTTTCTTTGAGGGTTGTTATAGTGGATACGATAAGGTTTCTGTAAGGGTTGCTATAGTGGATACCATAAGGCTTCTGAAAGGGTTACCCTAAGGGATACTATAAGGTTTCTTTAAGGGTACTGTCAGGGTTACTATAAGGCTTCTATACGGGTTACCTATAGTCTCCATTGAAGTTCCCTTTTTTGGTTTAACCAAATATATAGTTAGGATCCTATAAAGGAACCCCGCAAAGGGGCTACAATAGACTATAGGTTTAGGGATAAGGGTTCAGGGCTAGAGATCAGGGCGTAGGGTTTTGTATGTGAAGACCGTTTACAAGTGAGTTCAAGAGCTCAAGACCTGTGGACCAAAGGAATCTTAAAACTCATCCGAGTCTTGTCTTGTCAACGAATCGGCCGGATGATTTCGGAGCCTGACTGACAAAAGCCTGATTCTCACTAGTAGTCCTTCTATAATCTTGATATGGATCTTGATATGCTCCGGATGTGGAATCACAGGAAAATCTTAACCAGGTTCCTACATTATAACGTCTCACCTCCACTCCCAAGGTGGTTGCCCGATTCATTTCTCACAGCGATGGCCGCGTCTATCTGCGGCTGAAAGCTGACGCGGGGTGGGCGGCGTGGCTGATTTACTTGGGCAACTTGCGGTTGACAAAAGTTTGAAACTTAGGTCGCATGTTCTTTGTTAGGGGTTTAGGGTTCCGGTTTGACCCCCGGCCGACTTCCCAAGCCCGGATACAAAAGGGTTCCGGTTTGAAGCAGACTCTGCTCGCTCGCCTGATTCACGCGAGAAGAACCTTGCTCCACTGCGCCTGAGACTTTGGGATCGTGGCTCCAGGGACCCGGGGTCTTTATAATAAGGATCCTACTATTTAGGGTACTATAGTAGGATGGGCCATGGTTTTTTTTTTTTCGAAGGTGCGGCCAACCCTTGTTTGCGAGGTGCGGCCAAGGGTCCCTGGTGCATGCGGTCCCCTGGTCCTCTGGTCCTTGGTCCTGTGGTTCCCTGGTCCTCCGGTCTGCTGGTCCTCTGGTCCTGTGGTGTCCGTGCATGCGGTCCCCAGTCCTCTGGTCCTTGGTCCTGTAGTCCTCTGGCCCTCTGGTCTGCTGGTCCTCTGGTCCCGTGCTCTCCTGGTCCCGTGGTTTCCTGGTCCTGCGGTCCGCCGGTCCCTCGGTCCCGCAAAAGCAACAAAAAAGCAAACAAGGAATAACACAAATAAAGCACAACCCCAGAAGAAAGAAAAGCAGAAGAAAGATGATGAAGGAAAGAAAGCCAGGAAGGAAGCACAAAAGAAAGCAAGAAAGCACAGGAGCTAGCAAGGAATGAAAGAGAAACAAGAACAGGAACCCATTTTTGTTTGTGCCCTTTTTTTTGGCCCTCTTTCTTTTGCTCCCACGTCCTGTTATTTACACAGGGAAGGAAGAAAGCAAGGAAAAAAGGAAGGAGGAAGGAAGGAAGGACGGTAGTATTTCAGTAATATATATATATATATATACATAGTATACATAGTACATGTTGTATATATAGTATGTATACTATATATATATATATATATATAGTATGTACAGTAAAGATAATATATTATAATATAATATAATGGAATATAATATGATATATTATAATATAATGTAATAAAATATAATGTAACATAATATAATATAGTATAATATAACATAATGTAATCTAATATAATGTAGTATAATATATTATAATGTAATATAATATAATATATTGTAATGTAATGTAATATAACATAGTATAATATAATGTAATATAATGTAATATAATGTAATATAATGTAATATAATGTAATATAATGTAGTATAATGTAATATAATGTAATATAATGTAATATAATGTAATCTAATGTAGTATAATATACTGTAATATACTACAACATAATGTAATATAATAAAGAAATACAATATAATGATAAAAAGATATAATATAATATAGAATAAATATCATATAATAGAATAGAATATCATAAAATAGAATATCATAAAATAGAATAGAATAGAATATCATATAATATAACAGCATAGAATAGAACATAATCGAATATAATACAATATAACAGAACATCATAGAATATAATAGAATATCATAGAATATGATAGAATATAATATAACATAAAAGATTATAGGATAATATAATGGAATTTAATAGAATTGAAAAGAATATAATATAATGTAATATAAGAGTAATATAAGAGAATAGACTAAACTAGAAAATATATATCGAGTATATATAGTTTGTTTTCATATATTATAATATATAGAGTTTATTATATATATGTATATATAGTATATATAATATGTATAGTATATATACTATATATATATAGTATATATAGTGTATATAGTATATATAGTATATTTAGTGTACATAGTATATATAGTATATATATACAGATATACATAGAGTTTCAAGTTTCTATATATATATATATATAGTATATGTAATAAGTACAGGAGATATAACCTTAGTATATATAGTTTATACAGTATATATAATATATATATATAGTATATTTATAATATATACATATTTATATAGTATATGTAGTAGAGTTAGTCTATATAGTATATATAGTATATATAGTAGATATTATAAAATTGTATGTATATACATATAGTATACATAGTGTAAATAATATATATATATATAGTATATAGTATATATATATACACAGAGAGAGAGTACATATGTGTGTATATAAATATACATATATATATATATACATATGGAAGGCCTATTATTTTGGATCTTGTTGTTGAAATTTTTGTTTGGTGTTTTTCCATGGTTTTCCTTGGGGAAACACTATTTTCCTCACGTTTTGGACAGATTTGGTGTGCTTTTCTTGGTTTTTTCCACCTGAAACGAAAAGAACCCAGGAAGACAGAACGAAACACACCAGAACAAGGACCAAAGCAAGGAAGAAGAACAGAAAGAAAGAAAAGATAGAAGGAAGGCAGACGGTTGGAAATTCAGGTTCGGAACCCAGGTTCAAACCTGGGCTTGAACCAAGGTCCTAGGTTCTAATTCGGGTTAGAACCCAGGTTCAGAACACGGATTTTCTCGGGTTGTTGATTCAGCGGGGTTAAGCGCGAAGCAACACAATCAATCATGAAGACTTGGAAGTTCTCTTGAGCCACGAAGTAATCAACAATAACGTGTTTGCCAACCGGTCGTTTGAGCCGCCACGAAATAAATAAAACCGTGTTCGCCAACACAAAAAAAGAATAAAACCAGACAACACTGCTTCAGGGGGGTTTAACGTGAAGAAGACAAAATCAATCCTGAAGGATTTAAAAGGTTTGCAAATGGGGGGGGCTGCGCCCCCCCCAACCCCCCCGCTTGGTTTAGACTAAACTCCCCCGCTCTCTAAAGCCACACAAGAAAGGGAAAGCCAGACAACCACGCTCCAGGGGAGTTTACCGCGAAGAAAGCACAATCAATCCTGAAGGGTTTAACAGCTTTGCAAATAGGGCGAGTTCCCCCCCAAAACCCTCGCTGTTTTAGACTAAACTCCCCGCTCTCTAAAGCCGCGAAAAAATGAACATAAACGTATTCGGCAACACACAAGAAGGGGAAAGCCAGACAGCCACGCTCCAGGGGGTTTAACGCGAAGAGCAGCAACAACAACAGCAACCAAGACGACGACCACGACGACATCAACGACCCCACCACCACCAACGACGACAGCAACGACATCAACGACACCACCACCGCCACCAAGGCAAATAGTCTTGGAAATGGCTGCATTTCCCATTATTTTTTCTTTAGTTTTTCGTTGATCCCTGGATCTAATGTGTTTTTGATGATGAGTTTTTTGATGCCTCACCCCGTCCACAGGGATCCTGCCCCTCGAAGCGCCCGCGCTGTGGTGCGGCGCGACCCCGATGAACCCTCTACAGGGATTCTGTGTGTCGAAGCGCTGGCGCTGTGGTGCAGCGCAAATTCTTTACGTCGCCGATGAACCCTCTACAGAGATCCTGCGTGTCCAACCTGAACAAATCCTTGGCCGCACCTCCGAAAAAAGAGGGTTGGCCGCACCTCCGAAAAAAAAAAACCCCGCCTAGTAGGATCCCCTATTTTCGGAAACTGCCAAATTCAGCCAGCCTTGTAGTAAGATCCTAGACTCGTAAGACCCGATAAGAGGAAGAGCCCCATGTTGGAAGAAATTCCGTATGGATGTGAGTGAGGCCCAGTTTTATACTCCCAACATGTCCTAAATTCCAATCTTTCTGAATTCCTAAACCCCACCTGTGCCTCACAAGGTCAGTACTCGCAGCGTGGAGGATTTGGCGGAGTGCGCACCTTCGGCTGAACCCTATTACCGCATAAACGCTGAAGCGGGCTTCTCGTAACCGGTCAACCCTACAAACTCGCCCCTACGTGCCCCCTCTTTCGGTTTAACTTTTAGGGTCCAGATAGACGGGTACCCAAATAAGAAAAATTGGATTCCGAAGCTACGCTAAATCATGAAATTCCAAACCTTTTGCAGTCTGCCTTGCAGTAGTCCCTCATAATCCCGTGTAATGAGCCCTTTGGTAAAGAACCCAGATTGCTAACCCTAAGGGTCCATGTACCCATATACAGATACATGAGCCCCAAAATACCTATATAGGGATTAAATTTCGGCCAATGTATATACTATATGAGTACATGGACCCTTAGGCTAAAGACCTTAAACCCCGGTGTCAAAGTCGGTAGGGTCCTTTGTGCCTCCTCAGGGTGTGCCACGTGCTTCTCAGATTGCTTTTACTTGGCATTGGCTTCTTTGCCCTAAAGCTCCATAGCAGTTCCTTTTTGGGGTTCCTATATAGCACCCTAAGGTTACCCCAAAAAGGAACTGCTATGGAGCCTCTGGGCAGTGGTTGCCGACTTCTGTTTCTTGGATGATTCCGGGAGCACTGGTCCGCGCAGTTTTGTGGATGGCGAGCTCTGTGTTGCTTTTTGTCTTAGTAGCTGAGTGAGTAGACTTTACACTTTTTTGGGATACTATAGCCCCTTTATAGAACTGAAAGTGTACAGTTTTGGGGGGACTTGGGAACTCAGCAACTAAGTTGTGGTATGGTTTAGGTCTTCCATGCTGCACGGATTTGGGTCTTGTTGCTTGTGGAGCTTCTGCTTTCCATCCTCGCCTCTCTTGTTAGTGGTCTTGCTTGCTGGAATCCGTGCCTGCGCTAGTGCGAGTGCGCGAGTCGAAGCCCTTTGGCATAGTGACCCGTGTCGTACTATAGGGGCCGAAGGTCTAAAGAATGACCAACACTATTTGGGGGGGTTCCTTGTTATAGTTATGGTAGAAGGGGCCCCAAAACTCTGTAGTAGCCATTTACCCAAAGGGTTCAAAGTACCTCTATAGTAGAACGTAGGGTTTCTATATTAGGACTTACTATTATGATTTGGGGAAGTATCCCCATAACATCCCATAACAGTACATAGGACCCTTTGGGTTAGAAGCTCTAAAAGGCGCCCAGCGGCACAACAAACTGTTATAGAGCAAGCCCGGAACCCTTATGCAACCCTTAGGTGCAACCAGTCTAGAACCATAGAAGGAGACCGAAACAACGAAGCACTCAACCCGAACAGTAGCTCGTAGTAATTACTCCTGAACCCTGACGGTACTCAGTAACCCACGGCACAACCATATAGAAGCTGATATAGTACCAAAAGAATACACAACAGCTAACACTGTAAATTCTCACAGTATCTCTTACAATAACCTTTGTAGAAACATCTAAGGGGCCCCTGAAGAATCTTAAATCCCTAAATTCAATGGGGGTTTCGGAAAATGGGGGACCCTAATATAGTACCCTGAAGAGTAGGATCCTTGTTATAGGGACCCCCAAATAAGGCACTACCCTCATTTTCGGAAGCTCTAAACCCTAAAAGCTTTATGGAAAGAGCCCTTATAGATCTCTTTAAGGATCCCTTAAAGCAACCCCTAATTCTCTTAAAGGATCCCTGAAAGCAACCCCTAAATTTTCGGAAGCTCCCAAACGGAGGCTCTTTCGGCTGCCGAGGAGGAGGCCTCTTTCGAGCCGGAAAAGTTCAGGACTTCACTGGCAACCAACGGTGGTAATTAGAAGAAGAGTAATACTTCGAGGGTACCTGTTAAAGGGTTTTAAAAGGGTTACTATTTAAGGTCTATTATCAGGGTTTAGGGTTTAGGGTTTAGGTGGTAATCACAAGAGGGCTACGGTTGCTTCAAGGGGTCCTTTTAAAGGGGTCTAAGAGTCTAAATAAAAGGGTTAAGAGTAATACTTCAAGGGTTCCTGTTAAAGGGTTTTAAAAGGGTTACTATAAGGTTTATTACCAGGGTTTAGTATAGGCGCTAGAAGAGGGCTACGGTTACTTCAAGGGGTCGTTTTAGAGGGGTCGAAAAGGGTTACTATGAGGTCTACTATCAGGGTTCAATATAGGGGCCTGAATAATTCGAATGGGGTTTTGGGGTATGTTACAATACTACAATTACAATATAAGGAACCCTCGGAATAGTAGAGGTATATAAAGACTAAGGCCCCTATAGTAAGGGGGTCTAGGGTTTAGCCTGGTGAGAGGGGTGCAGGCTTTGGAGTTTGTAGAGATTTGGCGTTTGGAGATTTTTCTGATTTAGGGTATGGAGGGTTTAGTGATTGAGGGTTCGAGGGTTCAGGGTCTTTTACGGTTTAGGGGTTTCGGTTGATGAGAATGAGAAGGTTTAGTTTTTAGGGTGGTGGGGGGACTCTTGGGTTTGTAGGGGTTTGGGTTTAAGGTCTAGCGTGCTGAGACGGTTTAGGGTTTAGACGTCTCTGCAGTCACATTTTGGAGGATCTTGCTCTTTCTCCTTCTCTGGCTTTTGCTCCTGCTCCTGCTGCATTTCTTGCTCCTGCCCTTGCTCGTGCTCTTGCTCTTAGGCTCTGAAAAGGGGATGATTTGAAACCTGCTGCCATTGTTAGGGTGTGTTTGAGACAAAGGGGTTCATTGGGTTTACCTGCGGATTCAACATCCTATTGTTTCAGAGCTGTAACCCTGAGATATCCCATAGTCATAGTTTTTGGAGGATATTCTACTGGCAACACTCGGGTTTATGGCACTTATAGGGTTTGCATGTCGGGTTTAAAATTCAAGCTTATACGCGTCTCGTGTCTTTAGCGTGTTAAAACCCAGAACCCTAAAGCCTAAACCCTAAACCCTAAGTTAAGGTTTAGCGAAACCCGGCAAGAGCCCCAAAACGAGGACTCTGCGGGCCTAAAGTCCCTGAAAGCCCTACTTGCAGGTTCATGGCTAGTTATAAGTGGGATTATGAGTCCCCCAATAGGGGTTAATAGTATAGTCAGTATAGTTACCCTACGCTACTTATGCCTACCTCTAAACCCGATAATCCTACTATACCCTAAATTCTAAGCCCTGATCCCTATAGGGCCCTTAAAGGAACCCTACTTATAAGTACTCATGGACCTCCAAGTAGGCCCTAAACTCTATACCCCTATAGATTCCCTACAGGGGCCCTTAAAGCAACCTCACTTATAACTACCCATGAACCTCCAAGTATCCCCTAAACTCTCTACCCTTAAAGATTCCCTATAGACCCCTTTAAAGGAACCCTTATGGCTACCCAAATACTATAATTATTTGGGCCTCCAAGTAGACCCTAGACCATGTATCCCTTTAAAGGGACCCTTAAAGGAACCCTTATGGCTACCCATATACTACATATAATTATTTAGGCCTCCAAGTAGGCCCTAGACCCTGTAACCTTATAGATTCCCTATAGATCCCTTGTAAAGGGACCCTTACGGGAACCCCTATAGCTGCCCATATACCATATTTTTTAGGCCTGCAAGTAGAAAGCCCCTCGCAGGACCTGGCCATTGAAGTCGCCCGCCCGAGATTGTCTCCTGGCTCTCGAAGAGGCGACGGCGCTGCGAGGGTTTTCTTGGGTTCTTTTGGGCTTTGTTTTTTTGGGGTTCTTTTGGGCTTACGGATGTTTTGGTGCTGTTTTGGGCTTCGGGTTTTTTGGGGTTCTTTTGGGCTTAGGGTTTATGGGCTTCTTTTGGGCTTAGGGGTTTTGGGGTTCTTTTGGGCTTAGGGTTTATGGGCTTCTTTTGGGCTTAGGGTTTTTTTTGGGTTCTTTTGGGCTTGGGGGTTTTGGGGTTCTTTTGGGCTTAGGGGTTTTGGGGTTCTTTTGGGCTTAGGGTTTATGGGTTTTTTGGGCTTTGCGGCAACGAAAGTTGGTGATAGAAAATGAAAGCGTCGCGCGGCCGCGGTACGGAGCACAAGCAACGACAAAAGTTGTTGATACTAAAGGCAGTCAAGTACTCGCACTAGTTGTCGCAGTCGTCGTGGTAGCAGCAGGGGCAGTGGCAGTGGTTGCGACGGTGGCGGGTAGTTCTTGTACTAGCACCAGCATTAGAACTAGCAATAGTACTGCTGCCGCTACGACTAATTACTACTACTACTACTACTACTACTACTACTACTACTACTACTACTACTACTACTACTAGTAGTAGTAGTAGTAGTAGTAGTACTACTACTACTACTACTACTACTACTACTACTACTACTACTACCACTACCACTACCACTACCACTACCACTACCACTACTACTACTACTACTACTACTACTACTACTACTACTACTACTACTACTACTACTACTACTACTACTAGTACTACTACTGTACTACTACTAGTACTACTACTACTACTACTACTACTACTACTACTACTACTACTACTACTACTACTACTACTACTACTACTAGTGCGAGGACTAGTACTAGCAAGTCCCAGTTCCATTACTGACTCCTAAACCGCAAACTCACTTCATGTTTGTGAGGCCGAGGTCAAGGAGGTGGTCGTCAAGGAGGGCCCTGGAGTTGACCGCTGGGGGTGGGTGGTCGAGAATTTCGGGAATTGAGTTCACATGGTTTTGAGGGCCTGGGGGCTTATGATTTAGGGGCTTGGGGCGTATAGGGTTTAGGGATTATAGGGGTTAGGGGTTTGTGTAGGATTCCTGGGCAGGATCGAGGAGGGTGTTGATGCCGGTTTTCTTAGGGTGGGGGAGAGGGGAGGGTGGCTTCATATTACCACTACAAGAGAGTTTCCGAAAATCGGGGACCCTGACATAGTATCCGAAATAGTGGGTCCTGCTTATAAGGACCCCAAAATAAGGTACCCAGCATTTTCGCACCAGTGGAATGAGTCTGAAGAATCCACTGAGACCTACGGAGAGAATGAGCGCGTCCGCTACTGTTGGCTCTGAGCGGCGTCGCAGCTGCTGAGTTTCAACACTGGCGAGTGGCCAGCTGCAGGAGCACCGGAGCATTGCACTGCAGGGACTGGAAGACGAGGAGTGGAAAGCGCTTTGGTCGAGAGCGGCTTTGCTGGACGTGCTCAGCTATACTATACGGCCCTGCCAGGCACACACGGGGCAGCTGAAGTGGACCTGGAGAGCTACAAAGTGAAGAAAGGAAAACACTATCCTTGCATGCTTCGATTCACGTTGCATGCGAAATGCGTGGAGCTACATCAAAAACTGTTTTCTCTGCTGTCGCGGCTACGAGTGGTTCCTGGTCTGGGTTGAAGCATGCTTGCATCAATGGCCTGCAGACCGTTAAATCCTGAACACCCCAAGCCTCAAAGTCTCGCGTAAATCCTTAAAGCCCAACACCCTAAAGCGTACAAGACCAAAACCGCCGAACACCGCGCAGCACTTAAACTCAACACCTGAGAGGCCGCAAGCCCTGAAGCTTGAAGCCTGGGAACCCGAGCAGCCCGGAAACGCCACCCAAAGCATCCCAAAGCCTAAAGCCAAGGCAAGCGGTGAAATCATGTGAAAAGCCCCACGGCCCTGCAACAAAAAGCATTCACTAAGCCCTTTCAAATCCTGCTTTAGGTGCACAAGGAGAAAACCATCAAAGCATTATATAAGCGGAATTGCAGAAGTCAAGCCCTCAAAGGAATCACCAAGGCCTTTACTTTCAAAGCCCCAGCCAATTTGGGAGTTTCCAAAAATAGGGGAGTACCCCAAATAGTAGGAGCCTTATTATAAGGACCCCAAAACAAGGTACCCCTCATTTTCGGAAACTCCCATTTTCTTGAAGAAGAGATTCGGCTGAAGGCCTCGGAGGAAGCTGCGGCACCTAGTGAGGAAGCAGCAGAGGAGCGGTCTACACAGGTTTTGCTAAGATCCGCAATACCCAACCTTTATGTTGAGGGGGCTCTCAAAGTTTAGTAGGAATCGGAAAATTTAACCTTTTAAGGTTTACTAAGACCCCGAATACCCAACTCTTATAAACTTTTTGCGGGCTCTTATAGTAGGAATCGGAAAGTGATTTATCTTCAAAACTTTTGGGCTCTTATAGTTTTAGTAGGAATCGGAAAGTTTAACCTTTTATTTCTGTGGTTTTGTTATTCGGGGGAGTAAGTTTAGGGGCTGAGGGGCCGCAAGGTCTGGGGCGGAGCGCCCCGCAGCAAAAGGTTCGGAAATCGTGATAGAAGCCCCTAAACCTATGCTTGACTTGTTGACTTTAGCCTTTTAGCTAAATGACTTCGTATTTATGCATGGGCTGTGAGGATATACCGAGGCCCCCGAGAAGTGTTTCAGGCTGTCAGGACTCATGATTCATATGTGCACGGCATTTGCGCCCAAGACCATGCTATCTAAGGCTTTGGGGCTTTGTTTTTTCCCGCCCGGCTGACTGACAGAGTCGCACCGCAGGGATGCGCTTGAGGGTCCTGGTCCTGCCAGCGATCGGAGCTTGGGTCTAGGATGCTAGCATTGCAGGGTAGTGCCTGGGAGTATCCTCAAGGTGCTGGACAGAGCCCAGAGTCCATACCCTTGTATACTCGCCTGAAGGTCATTTTATTCACACAGTTGAAAGATTTCTGAATTCACATCGTTCTTTTCCGGGATTGTGTTTCCGCGTAGAGATCTCTGCTTCAAAGACCCTGTGTTTAAGTTCTCCACAACAAGGGTCTTAAAACAAGCTTTACGACTGGGGTTGAATATCGGCATCCATACTGTCAAACCTGTACACTCTAGAGTCTAACCTCTGAGCTTGAAGTAGCTTGCAGGTTCTGAGTTTCCGGTTTTGACAGTACAGATGCTGATGTCTGTTAAGGCCCTGCAAGAAGAAGCGTCATTAGCACAGTCATTAAACCCCTCTGCACCCTACCTGAACCTACCAACACCTACTTTTTTGCCGGGCCCGCTCATGCCCCCATCAGGGTTTATACTGGTAGCTTCAGGTAAAGCCCGGTAAGCCCCGTTCGGGAGCAGGGTCCTTTGGACTTCCAGGAGAGCGATTTGGACGACGGCGCTGCGAGCCTTCCGGACGATGAGCAAGGCAGCTGGGTTTAATATAGGGGCCTAAATAATTACCTATACCATTTTGGGGGGTCCTTATTATAATTGTAGTGTATGGGTCCCAAAACCCTATTCTAATTATTAAGCCCCCTATAGGACGGATTAAGGGGATTCAGGGTTTACAGGTTCGGAAATTATGGCCTAGCTGTACCCTCCATTTTGAGTAACAAGACAATAGGTTTTTGGATCCAAGTCGGGAATTGGCAGAGGGGAAAAGGGTTTAAGGGATACGGTTTGGGCTTTAGGAACTATGTGCAAAGCTTTGGGGTCTCTCCGGAATGGTCCATGACTGATAAAGTGTTGTTGTTTTGCGGGTGTTGTACCTTGTAAGGATTTAGAGCCAGTTTAGGGTTTGGGCTGCAATCCGACATCGATCATGACGTTGGTTATCGGGCGCTTAGGTATGTCGGTCAGGCATGAAGGGCAGCTGGAGCAAACATTGAGACCTACTGTATGATGAAAAAACGGTCCCAGACTGGACCCTTGCCCTCAACATTCACTTCAAGACTCTGAGTGGCCATGACAACAATGGCCGACCCAGGCGCTTGCAATTGAGGGGCAGCGAGCCAGCAGTTGGCTTCTCTACGTTTAGGGTTTGGTCTAGCCTGGCACTTTGCTGCACGTTCTTGAGTCTTTTCTTGTGAGGGCAGACTCATCAGGATGTTGTCCAGCACCCCCGAGATATGGGAGTTTCCGGAAATTAGGGGCACCTTATTTTGGGGCCCTTAAAGTAAGGGTCCTACTTCTAAGAGAAATATATTAGGGTCCCCTATTTTCGGAAACTCCCATATTATGCCCAGAAGAATACATGCTCGGTGTCTATGTATCCTCGCTGACCTGGGGTTTTCGCAGTGCGCAGAGAGGCGGCGATGAAGAGCCAGAGGAGGAAGAAGGCGCGGCCTGGCAATGGAATGAACTTTTCCCCGGCCCCCAAGAGTGCCTAAGCTATATTGCCCTAGACCTCTAAGTAACCCATGCTCCTAAACCCTGACCCTCAAACCGTTGCTAGATCCCAGATACAAGCTATTTTTGAATTCCAAGGCTTGCATGAAGAGAGATGAGTGCGTGATGTGGAAAGTTGTTGCTCGGAATCTCGCGACAGGAATGTACAGCATGCAACCTCCTAAACCCGAAGGCCAGCCTGAATAATTGTCCATGCTAATTCTGCGGGTTCCGGCTGCTGCATACAGCGCCACAAAGATTACCCCGCCACCCACCCGAAACCACATTATGATAAATTACTCGGGTACGGGTACTGCATTATTTTGACTTGAGCTGCTTCGGGAGAATGCGGCTCCGTATGAAAGCGGCAGATGCAGAACCCTTGAGGAGAAGTGAGCGCAGTTGCCAGGTGGCGACGAGGGCATGGAAGATGTGTTGGACGAGGAGGACGGCGGTAAGCAGGGATTGGCGAGAGTTATGTTTGGCGTTTCGACACGACGAAGCCGGCATACCAGATTCTGGCTCAATCCTAATCCAACCCGATCTGCCGGTGACGCTGCACACCGGAAATGGGAACAGAACAAATTGCAGGGTCTCCTACAGTATCCGAGCTCACGAAAATCTTGTGTCGGCTGCATGTAGAATGATTAAGCCTTCATCAGTGTATGCTTTTTTGCGCCCATACTACAGGTTTATCCAACGCTATCACACCCTTGCCCTTAACTTAATTACCTTAGGGACTGAGTCCCCGCATGGGATTCTGCACGGAGCTCTCAATTTATGAGTACAGAAAGGCACTTCAGCATGGGACATGAAACGCTACTCTCACCATAGCCCATGCGAAGCACGTGGTTTCATATATGGATCAATGCAAACTTGTAAGTTTGTAACCTGTACCCAGGCCGTTGCACTTCAAGTCTTTCAGGCTAAGGCTTACGCCAGGCTTGCAAACGAAGGCTAGCTGTGAAGTTTAGTGCTTCCGGTCCAAAGTGATTTTCAAGCGTAGTTCTTGAGGTTTGGGGATGTGTAGGGGATATCATCAGCTGGCAAGTTTATGCAGTTGGTGGTGGTTTCAGCCTGTAAGCCACAGAGTTGCCAAGAGACGGTCTTGGATGCAGAATTCCCGCTACATCCGAGCTGTTGGATGGTAAAGCCATCTTGCCATGCCTTTGTAAACCCTAGGCATACATTCATACCTGCCACAAACCGCATGAACCCAATGTTCTCAAACCATGCGGCCGACATAGAATCCGTGAAACCCACTCCGACTGCGCCGGCAGTGGGTGCATGGGTCAATCACTCTCGGAACTTCGAAGCAAGGAAACGACACAAAACCCTTGGCTGCGTAAGCTCTCAGGTGCATGCACTTATGAACTTATGTGTGTTCATGTACGATTTTTATATGTATGATTTTGTACGTATGTATGTGTACGGTCTATGTGTGTATGGAGAGTAGATGTGCGCAGATTTCTCGGAAAGCTCAAGCACCACAGGGTCCCAACACCCAATGTGCCCCGCAAGTTTAGTTACAGAGCGGATAGCCCGGTTCTGAGGCGACCCCGTTTCCGTTTCAACGAGCAACCTGTCCAGGAGCCTCAACCGCAGGGCGAAGCTGCGACGTCCCCCAGCAAGGGAGGTGCGAATCTCAGCCCATGTATCCCGAAAAGTAGGAGCCTGAGTCATGGTGTTGGGTTTGCAAGTTTAGGGTCTAAGGCTTCGAGTTTGCAGGGCTTGGCTTTGACGTGTGCGTTTACATGCACATGCGTCCACGAATAAAAACATTGGTATTTTGCATACATTGGCTGACGGCTCTGTGTCCGCCGAGACGAGCTCCACTTCCCTCCTGCTTTGCCTTGCAAACCTGCCCACCTGCAGGGCTGGATGCACTGCTCGAGATGCATTGTTACCACGGGCTGCCCGATAGCTATTGTATCGTTCCGGCGCAGCACGAATAGTCCCCTACACAAAAGAAGCCTGTCGCACAGCGAAAGGGGGGCCGCAGTATTGAGATGGACTTTCCTGGCAGAGCCCATGCACGACTCCACAAAAGCACAACTAGCCCAAGACCCATCGAAGTTTCAAACTCCGAGACGCAAGCCTTGTCTTTAAAAATTGAACCCCCCAAACCCGAAACCCAAAACCCCAAAGTCTGAATCCATAAGCCCAAAGCTCGAACGTTGAATGCCCGCCTTTAGTGAATGATCTTAGGTTGGTTACTTGCAGCCTTCGGGATCCCAAAACCTATACTTAAAAGCTCATAAACCACTAAACGACCCAATTGAGCTGCAGACTCCCCTAAAAGCGCTAAATCCTGACCCCTTTTGCGGCTTCGCACCTTCGGAGCAGAGGCGTGAAACGAGCCACCACGCGGAAGTTTCGCATCCTCTCGGGGAGATGTTCGATCCTCTCCAAGCCAGGCCCGGGATGCGGGGAACGATTAGGGTTTAGGGTTTAGGTTAGGATAATAATACTACTACCATTATTACTGCTATTACTATTATCTTCAATATCCCAAATTTTAATCTCTCCAGGGGGTTTAGGGTTTCGAGGGGGGCGGGGGACGAGGACGGAGGACCTGCCGCCAGAAAATCCTCGATACTACATCCTGGCACGTCCAACTCTAAGCTTATAAGGTTAAGGCTATACCCTTTAAATCTTTACAAGACTTTTGGGGGTTGAGGTTTGTCTGTGGTGTGGAATCCATTCAAAACCCTATTAACTAAGTTCGAGATTTCGGACGTTTGAATACCTTTTCCGAAGCTCTACGATCCCTTCATGTTGCAAGGAGCCCATCAAGGTATCCTATATACCCATGAAGGTAGTTCCTTGCTTGGCTCTGCTTGCCCTACCCGTTACTGTAGAATGATAGGCTGCAACCCTCTAAAGCAGTTTATCCCGAAAGAGCCTTATATAGGTTCAACCCAAGTGTCGGACCGTTATCCCCAAACTCCTCAACCACTAAGCCCATAGCTTTTTGCCTTTAGCCTTAGCCAAGTCCGAACCCTGAATGTCGAAGCCTGAATGCCTGCGGGGTTCTTTTTTCGAAATTGCAAACATCATGAATTATGCTTGGGCTCAAAGCTTCCCACACATTACCAGAAAACCTACCTTGGTAGAGGCATGACACAAAAATCTTCGTGGGGAGCCCTGCAGAGGCAGTTTTGTTGAGAGGGGGAGGATTCAGGTCAACGCAAGACTTCCTAAACAGCAAAGTCCCTACCTCTATCTGATGTTCCCAGGTGCGGCGCAGCTCCGCATCCCAGGGCAGCGTTCACTTCAGAAGGCTCTTCGTTCGGATTCAACCAGAGCTTCTAAAAGGGTCCTGTCAATTTGCAAGGGTTGTAGAAGGGTTGAGGGCTCATCGGCATTCAATGCCGACATGTCGATTTCAATGTAGAAAGTTTCTACGCCTCGAGTTGTTCTTCAAGATATCATGGAGTCTCCGGCCAATAGATGCCGTCCTCTTTCGCTGTGCGTCTCTCTTTCTTTCCCCTCTTACTCCCTCTCTTTCTCTCTTTCTCTCTTTCTCTCTCTCTCTCTCTCTCTCTCTCTCTCTCTCTCTCTCTCTCTCTCTCTCTCTCTCTCCCTCCCTTCTCTGCCTCGCTCTCCGTATGTATGTATGTATGTATGTATGTATGTATGTATGCATGCATGTATGTATGTATGTATGTATGTATGTATGTATGTGTATATATACATATATACATACATGTCTGTTTGATACATACAAAGATACACACACACACCCATATATATATATATATATATATATATATATATACATACATACATGCATATACATACATACATACATGCATCTACATACATTCATACACACACACATAAACATAAACATATATATATATATACGTATGTATTTTATCGTGTGTCAGTATGTTCCTGTATTTATATTGCTTCATCTTTCTTTCTCGCTCTCGCTTTGTCCGTCCTGTGTCTGTGTGTGTGTGTGTATGTATATATATATATATATATATATATATATATATATTTGCATGTAGAGCGACAGAGAGCGCGACAGACAGAGAGAGAGAGAGAGAGAGGGAGAGAGATCCACAGAGAGTTGCATGTACGTGTTGTGTACCAAGTGCAACAAATGCAGAGTCTACCGACGAGCATGAGCCCTTGACTCCACACACTCCAATCTGGGAGTCCTGCCCGAAGGGAGCTTCGACGCTCCTCCTCCTCCTCCTCCTCTTCCCTTCGAAACCCAAGCAAAACCCTGAAAGTCCAGAGACTAAACCATAATTAAGCTGAGCCCTACACCCTGAAAAGGCGATCTGAAGCAGGAAGCTTTGCACGCCGCCTCGTAGCCGTCTTAGCCGAGCTCGAAGTTGTGGACCCGAGAAGCCCGCCCCTGCTTTCAAGCCGAAGCAAGGGTTCTGGAGCCCTAGGCTTGTAGTTAACAAACAGAACGCCCTACGGCGGCAGCAAAAGCCTGAAACCCAGCTGAAGAGATGTCTTTTGCAGGTGCAGGTTGCCTTTGTTTTTTATCTGTTCTGTTCATGGCTTGTTTATACCCATAGGTTCCATAGTAGTTCCGTTTGGGGATTACCTTACAGGGTTCTATCTAAATTTTTACCCCGCAAAGGCGCTACGCTTATTGATCAGCGCCGTACATGCCCGGCCCTACCCGGTCATTGGACTGCGGGTGGGATGAGCGGTGCAGGGGGTGCACGGAGAAGGTTCGGGTGGCGGGGGATTGGAATCGGACGGCGCCCGTCACTGCTATCAGTTTGTTTGTTTGTTGATGATGTTTTTCCTTTTTCCTAGCAGTATTTACCATCTTTTTCGTTTATATACAGTTGTTTATCGTTCCGGATTCGGTGTAAAATGTCTTTCTCATTCTGGGAATGGCCGCGGTCTGGGGCAGCCTGGAGGCATTTTGCCCAATCTGTGCCTCGTCGCTTTGCCCCCTACTCAACTAACCGACGATCGTTGGTAAAGCTGGCGGCTTGACAAGCCGGCAATGGATTCGACGCCTCGCCCAGAGTTGATGTCGATCTGGAGCTGGGGACCGGATTAAACCATACATAAACCGCAACCACCCAGAACCCAGATAAGGTTTTACAAAAAGGATACTTAACTGATACCCACGAGCCATACCCAAATGATTAAACGATGACAAATACGCCTATACTCATGTCCCCAGTGTCTGCACGAAAACATTTACTAACCCTACGTCCTCAACTCACAGAAGCTAACCTAAAGGTCCTACGTAGCACCGGCCCTGCCACCGTGCTTCTTTGTTTGTAGATGTCAGGCTTCTCAGAGAACCTCTGGTTGAAAGACATCCTAAACCCTAAAGTATACTAAATTTGTACTAAATAACCCTGTAATGAGCTTAACAACCTTGAGCCCTAAAAAGCCCTGAGCCCATTCAGCCCCAAAACGCAGGGCGAGACCTTCTTGGCGGACGGCGTCTTCTGGGTGTGTCTCGTTCAAATGATTCAAGACGGAGGTTCAGGGCTTGGGGCTTCAAGTCTATCAGCTTATTGTCAAAGCTTTTACCTTACCTTTGGTTAGTAGGGAATGGAGGAATGGGGTTCAATTATAACTACTATTGCTACCATTCTTCCATTCCCTACTAACCAAAGATAAGTTTATGGGTTCCCTGAAACCTTCGTAAAAACGTTTACTGGAGTTCTGGCCCCTGTCTTGTCCTTCTTGGGAGTTTGCCGGTCTCGATTTAAGGTTTAAGTTTAGGGCTAGGGTTGAGGGTTTTGTGTACTGCGGGGATTGTAGGTTTTAGATGCTGTGTGGCGGCTTTCTGGGCATGAAATCGCAATAATATAGGGGCCTTAATAATTAGAATGGGGTTTTGGGGCCCACTTTAGCAAGGAACCAGCCAAAACATAGTATACGCAATTCTTAAGGCCCCTACATTACGTCGGCGTTCTTCGTCGCTGACTTCAGGGTTTTGATGGTGACACAGTTTGAGACTTGGATTAGGGTTTCGGGTTTAGGGTTTTAGGGTTTAGGGTTGGGGGGCCTTCGAGGTTTCGGGTGCATCCACGGAGGTTTTTGTATCGGAGTTATAACACGACAAAGGGAATTCAAAGCCCGCAGGTTGAGGTTTAAGGGCGTCCCGAAGCCCAGTACTGTAGGGGCCTTAATAAATACCAATACTATTTTGGGGGTTCCTGATTGCAGTTATAGTATAGTATAGCCCCAAACCGTATTCTAATTATGAGGGCCCCTGCATGAACCTTTCCAGATTTCACCCTACCCGAACGAAGACAACTGCAAAGGCACCGACGAGTAGAAAACAATGAAGCAGCTCACGCCAAACCAGTAAAACCGTACAGCCACAATCTTGTACTGTAGGGAAGCAACTCCAGAGCTCTAAACCGTACACCCTTAAAGCCGTAAGCCCTCCCTGCCGCGCGCGAGAGTGAGCGTCAAGATCCTAAGCCCTGCCATAATGGGGTCTTCATAACTACCTATACTATTTTGGGGGTTCCTCACTATAACTATACTATAATGCGCCCCCCAAAACCCTATTCTCATTATGAAGGCCCCTATAGTAATCACCTAATGCTGACGTAAGGCCGGCCGAACAGCGAGCCTACCTGCGGATGACCCGTGGCCTGGGCTGGATCTGCCCAGACCTCAGAATCCCTAACCCAAAGAGTCCATGAACCGGTTTAGGGTTCTTATAAAGGGTCACTAACCCAAGTTCCTGTAAAGGGCTCTTGTAAAAGGGGTCTATAAGGGTTACTATATAGGGTTCCTTCGAATGGGTTCTTATAAAGTTTATGAAGGGTTACTATAAGGGCTATTACGAGGATGTAGTTTAACCCAAAGAGTCGATGTACCGGTCTAGGGTTCTTATAAAGCGTCTATAAGGGTTACTAACCCAAAGAGTCCATGTACCCGGAGACTCCAATATCCCTTACTTAAGGACTATACCTTAAAGCTTATAGTAGAATCCCCAACCCAAAGAGTCCATGTTGAGGGTTCCTTTAAAGGGTTCTTGTAAAGGGTCTTTCAGGATTACTTTCAGGGCTGTCATACGGGAAACCCATCAAAAAAACACTGTTTTTCAATCAAAAAGAACTTTCAGCGAAAATCAAAAAAAACTTTTTCACCAATCAAAAAAACTTTTTCCAATCAAAAAACACTTTCTCCATGTGTAGTAGTAGTAGTAGCAGTAGCAGTAGTAGTACTAGTAGTAGTAGTAGTAGTAGTAGTAGTAGTAGTAGTAGTAGTAGTAGTAGTAGTAGTAGTAGTAGTAGTAGTAAGTAGTAGTAGTCGTAGTAGTAGTCGTAGTAGTAGTAGTAGTAGTAGTAGTAGTAGTAGTAGTAGTAGTACTAGTAGTAGTAGTAGTAGTAGTAGTAGTAGTAGTAGTACTACTACTACTACTACTAGTAGTACTAGTAGTAGCAGTAGTAGTAGTAGTAGTAGTAGTAATAGTAATTTTTAATTTGTAATAGTAATAGTAATAGTAATAGTAATAGTAATAGTAATAGTAATAGTAGTAGTAATAGTAATAGTATCTGTGTATATATATATATGTATATATCTGCAGATATGCGTGAATGTGTATGTGAGAATTCTTATATGTATGTATAATATATTTATATATATACATATTTATATATATATATACATACATACATACATAAGTGTACATGTACATGTGCATGTGCATGTGTATGTCTAGGGCTAGGTCTATGTGTATATGTACATCTATATGCACATGTATACGTATAGGCATACGTATACATATATGTACACGTAACATATATGTATATGTATATGTGTGTGCATGCCTATGCGTATATGTACACGTATATGTATATGTACATGTATACGTATATGTGTAAATATGTGTATGTGTTTGTGTATGTTTGTATGTATATGTTTATGTATATGTACACTTACATGTTGAGCGGGGTGCACTTTATCAACCAACGCACTTTACCAACAAACACATATAGAAGCACAGCAAGTATGCACACATAAGCTACACACACGTATTTATGTCTATATGTATGTATGTATGTATATATATATACAGTAACATGAAAACGCATGTGTAGTAGTAGTAGTCGTCGTCGTCGTAGTAGTAGTAGTAGTCGTAGTAGTAGTAGTACTACTACTAGTACTGGTACTAGTACTGGTACTAGTACTAGTAGTAGTAGTAGTAGTAGTAGTAGTAGCAGCAGCAGCAGCAGCAGCAGTAGTAGTAGTGGTAGTGGTAGTGGTAGTGGTAGTGGTAGTGGTAGTGGTAGTGGTAGTGGTAGTGGTAGTGGTAGTAGTAGTAGTTGTTGTTGTTGTTGTTGTTGTTGTACTAATAGTATAGTTAAATCATGGCGAAGCGTAGGGCCAGGTGCCAGCTCTGCAGTGAACGCCTTTAACCGAGGCCCACAAGGGGGAGATAAAAAAAAGGGCAAAGGAAAAAAAAAGATCAGAAAAAATAGGGTCCCCTCCTTCCTGCCTTCCTTCCTGTCTGCCTGCCTGCCTGCCTTCCTTGCTGCCTTGCTTCCTTCCTTGCTTCCTGCCTTCATTCCTTCCTTTCTTCCTTCCTTCCTTCCTGCCTTCCTTCCTGTCTGCCTGCCTGCCTTCCTTCCTTGCTGCCTTGCTTCCTTCCTTGCTTCCTGCCTTCCTTCCTTCCTTCCTTCCTCGCCCTTTCTCCCCGCCTTCCTTCCTTCCTTCCTTCCTTCCTGCCTTCCCTCCTGCCATCCTTCCTTGCTGCCTTTCTTCCTGCCTTCCCTCCTTCCTTCCTTCCTTCCTGTCGTGCTTCCTTTAATAAGGGAAAGTTTGTTTTTGATTGGAAAAAAGTTTTTTTTTGATTGAAAAAAGATTTTTGTTGATTGGCATCCCGCTGTCATAAGGATGTAGTATACCTTTAAGGGATCTCTATAAGGGATCTATTGCAGGGTTTAGGGTATAGGATAGGGACCTCAACAATTACCTATACTATTTTGGAGGCTCCCCATTATGATTATAGCATAATACACCCCCAGCCCAGTTCTGACTATCAAGGACCCTATATTGCCGGTTTGGTTTAGGGTTAACATTAGATGCTTCGGCCCCAAAGTACTTGTATAGGGACTTCTTGAAGGCCAAAGTTTAGGCTGTACTTGGAGGTTCAGGGGTAGTTTCATGTGGGGTTATACACGTCACCCTAGTATGGATCCTCAGCTTTGAGGGCGTCGAGCTGGGGTTTAGGGTTTTAGGGTTTGGTGGCCTTTGGGGGCTTAGTGCTGGCCATCAGGGTTTAGGATTTAGGGTCTGGGAGTTACTGCCACGAGTGCAGCGGCTCCGACCTCCAGGCGGGCATATACAAGTCTGTGCAAAAAAGGGTCTGGGGGCCAGTAGGGTTTTAGGGTTTAGGGGCCATGAGGGTTTTCGGGTGTTTAGGGGTCATTCGGGTTTGAGGGCTTAGGGTGTACCGACAGTCTCCATTGCAGTTCCTTTTTTGGTTACCTTGTTATAGGATCCTGATGTTTGAGAAGGGCTTTGTAATCGCGGCTATAGCTGCACAGCTGAGGTTTACGGTGAGGGGTACTCACCCGGTGGTCGGAAGTATACCATATAGAAGCTTGAACAACTCGCAAAGTATGATTCACTCTGTTGCCGGAAACCTACCCCTATGTTGGCCTTTTCGGAGCAGCCACCCAGGCATTTGCGGTCGGTTTTCAAGTCTGTAAGAACCGCCGGGTGGAGGGGCAAATAAAGGTGTAGGGCTTTGGGGTTAGCGGCCGGCGGGTCTATCGGTGAGGTGTTTTTCTGCGTTGTGGTCCCTGCCCAAAAGAACCGATTTAATTCAGCAGTTTCCATTAAAACCATTAGTCTGTGATTCAGCCGCTAGGGTTTAGGGGTTTAGGGTTTAGGTTGGTCTAGGGCTTATGCACCTTCGCTTTGTATTAAGATTCTTGGTCTTTACATGGGCAGATCGCTTGTCTGGCAGCAAAATGAGGAGTTATTATGGGGCTTAAAGATATGGAGGGTTGGGAGGAGGAATCTCAGAATGGGTTGTAGAACTTAGAAGCCTATCCGACACATCCATCCCACTGACACCTTCAGTTCCGAAGCCCATCCCCAGAACCCACCACTTGGCCCGAATCGCCTTTGCCCTGAACACCAGTGTGGTGATCTAGATCCTTCAAGAACTAAGTTGCAGCCGCTTCCTGCCTCAGAACCTGCTGAAACCCTTTGCAACGGTTGATGATACAAATCCTGCATTACCCATAATAAGGACTATACCATAATTCCTATAGTTCAGGGTTTTCGGATTTATATCATCAGCCGATGCAGGTGTGTTGATCAGACAGCGCGGCTCGCTTCCGGGTCCACGTGCGCAAATTTCATCCGACACATCCGATGTTTACCACCCCCTTGAACAGTTGAACAATGTCTCGGCCTTGTATCTGATGTAGTGGTGGTGACGTAGTGACTCAGGGGTGGCTTGTATTAGTGTTGGGTGGCGTAAGCTCAGTGAGTTCTTAGATTGGTTCTGCCACCTAAACCCTCAAACCCGTAGTTAAACCCTACACCCTAAACGTTTGCCGTGCAGACTCTCAGCCACTGCTCCTGCGAGCTTGGATTGTCTGAAGCCTTGCTGCCTTGCGCGATTGTGAGAGTCGAAAACCATACAGCCCTGGAGTCCCAAAGCCCAAAACCATAACGGCCCCCTCAACCCTATGCAAAAAAAAGGCCCCTAGTATAGAATCCTTATAGTAGCCCTCATAGCAATTAACCCGTTAAAGGAACCCTATGAAGCCCTATTCTAATTAGTAATTAAGGCCCCTAAACCCTGAGTCCCCTAACCCCAAGAGCTTCTAGAGACCATGGACCTCCTCCTCAGGCGAGAGGTCCAAGACGGACCTTTGGAGACTCGCAGTGGCGCCTTGAAATGCAGAGTTGAGGTCTTGAGTTATTAGGGTTTCGCATGTAGGGGTTCTAGGTGTTGAGGTTTAGGAAGTAGTTCTGGTATAGGTGTAGGATTCGGGATTTACGGGGTTGGGGGTTTGGGTGTTTGGGGTTTAGGGCTTGGCTTTAGGAGCTTGAGGTTTACAGGGTTGGGGCGAAAAGAAATTTCGAGCTCAGTGTGTCGGGTTCAGTTTAAATTTTCGGGGCAGATGCTTGGGAATGATAAGTGGTCACCGTCATCGCTTTGCCGAGGGTGTCTTTCCTGGTAACGGTAGCAGCACTGTTGTTGGGTCTACGGAGAAGTGAGTGGGGACTGGGTTTACAGGTTCGGCTAGGAGGTCTAGCCTTGGCGACCAGTCTGCATAACTCAGTGTTGCTTAAGGAATCACGTTTGGGCGGGCTTTTCTGACAGATTGCAGGCATGATTGCTACGATAGTTTAGTGTTGCGACCTGAACAACACAAGGTAGACAGAGCGCTGCAGACTGAAGTGTGTGGATTCATCCATCCTCGTTCTCATCATCACCAGCGGAGCTTGGTCGTCATCATCATCATCACCACCACAACTAAAACATCGTCATCATCATCAGATCCTACCCACGTCGCCATCACCTTCCACCCGACCATCACGCGACTCTCAGTCTTACAATCAGCTCCATCATCTTCATCACGGCATGTGGGCCCAAAGCCCTACACTCAGCGTCCGTTGAAGGCGAAAGCCCTGATCCCCTGAAACCCCCAAATCTAGGTAGGGCTTTGGGACATTTTTTTGCTCTTATTGGGCTTAAGAGGATCTTACCTGCTAGTATTTTTCAACAGCTTTAAAAGTATTTAAAAGCACCTCCTAGAAATCCTAGACCCTGAATTCCTTGAAGCTCACCGCCCATCAACAAGAATGTGAAACCGTAGGCCCAAATCTGAAGACCCCGGCACGGTCAACAGTTGCAGCATAAAGCCTCGCCCCTGTATACAATCCCTCAACCCCAAATCCCTGAAGCCCCCCCCCCCCACACTCAACCTTGAACCCCCAACCCTAGCCAACTTACCTTTGGCTAGTAGGGAATTGACGAATGGTAGCAAAAGTGGTTGTAATTGTACCCCATTCCTCCATTCCCTACCACCCTAAACCCTAGACCCTGCTACAGTACCCTAAACCCTAAACCCCATTCCTCCATTCCCTACTAACCAAAGGCAAGCCAAGAAGCCCCAGGCCCGGCTCACGAAACGCAAGGCCCCGGTGAGTAAGAAGATGGCGAAGGCCGTTGCCTTCCGAGGAGGCGACTTAGGGCTTATGGTTTAGGGTTTCAGGTTTAGGGTTTAGGGTTTAGCTTGCTGTCTTTTCGGCATGATTTGTGAGGCGTTTGAGGGTTGAAGGATGGCTTTATAACTGTAGCTCCAACGAAAGCCCGGCCTTAGACAAGTGCGTGTTATCTGCAAAGATGAACTGCTTTCGACGACCCTGGTTGTCGCAAGCTTCTCTGAATAAGTACCCATATTATTCCTGAGGGTTCCTTTCTATAACCCGAATATCAAGGAGCCCAAAACCCATTCTAATTATTGAGGCCCCTGCATGCTTCACCTCTAAAGCCCTCATCCCTAGACCCCTAAACATGCTTAAACCCTAGCGCAGATGACTGAACGGAGCCCAAAGAGCGAGAGAGCTGCAAGAACGGCCAGTAGAACCGTAAAACTTAGCTTAAAACCCCACTTGCGCCAACGGCGTGTCTGTTTTTTCTTTCAATCTGCCAATATGCCTTTTGAGAGCCATCCTGCAAGACCCCACATAAATGCTAGGGCTTGTGCCTTCGAGTTTCGGGTTTAGGATCGAAAACTCTAAACCCTACGAACCTTCATCGTCATAGTCATGAGTCCATGCCAGCACAAGCACACGCCGCCCGGGCCTTGATGTTCTGCATACGAACACTTGCGATCACTTTATCCGCAATAACTGGTGTCGTAGCGCCTTGGTATATCTTCGGAGTAGGCTTACATCCTCAAGCCCTACAGCCCTGAACCCCAGAACCTCAGAGCCCGAGAACCTCAAAGCAGGTGACACTGGTGGCGTGATTCGACTCAAGAGGGAGGATCTTGTCAAAAACAGCCCCGGGCCAAGTGTGGGGGGCTTTTGTTGCGCGTCGGTAAACATGGAACCTCAAGGTGAAGCAACAGGGTTTGAGTTCTGCATTCCGCCAGGGTTTGGGGCGTAACTTAAACTTTACATTACTAATTACCAATAATACCATAGGGCTCCTTGTTATATGTTCTACTTATGAAGGCGCCTACATTATGCTTACGGCCCGTCTAGCCCACAGACTAATCATGCACGATGATCCAAAGGACAGATTAACATGGTGCAACGCACAGGCGCGAACACTTGCTGCGGTCACTACAGATCAACAAAAGCACGAAGTCTTCAACCCAAAGAACAGCTGCGAGTCGAAAAAGGGACAACACCATAACAGTTGCAACATAATTAGCAGTGACACATGACTGGAAAGCTGGACAAGAGCATTTAAACTGAGCGCGTTTACCGAAGAGTGCTTCAAGGGCGCCGCAATGTTCGTGCTTCCCATATTCTTATGTTTTATGTCCGTACTTAGACCCCAAATCTTAAACCCTCAACCCCTAAACTCTACCCATAGGCTCTATAGTAGTTCGTTTGGGAATACCCTGCAGGAGTCTATATATGAACCCCAAAAAAGAACTACAATTGGAGCCATTAGGTAAACCCTTACTCAACTCGAGGTCGTGGCAAAATCGTCAGCCGACGTGCCTCAGAAGCGTCGAAGAAAAAATCAAACGAAGGCCTTGCGACAGAGCAGAGAGCGAGTTGATGTGGGGCTCGTAGTCGTAGTTATTTATTCACGCTTTGAGGTCTACCATACGGGCCTAAATAGCTACCAATACTATTTTGGGGGTTCCTTATTATGAATATAGTAGATTGGGCCTCAAAAGCCTATTCGTCTTGGGTGTATCGTCTTGTGCTTGGAGGTTTGAAGGGCTTTGGGTTCAGAGTTTTGGGTGCCCACCGTTGATTCCACGGAGACTTTCCAACTGTAAACTCTTTCTGCTGCAGCGTTCAAGCCCAGGAAAATGCAAGGCCGATGATGGGCAAATGTGTTCCTTTAGTGGAATTCTGCGCACAATGCCGCGACTGCAGCTGTAAGACGGCCTGACAGTTGAGCAAGCCAACACGCGCAGCTTGCTTACACCACAGGATGTGGCACAGCATGCGGAGAGGAAAAGTCAACATAACGCATGGGAGTATCGAATTTGTAGGTCTGGTGCTACGGAGAAAGTTGAAATCTTGTAGACCCTCATTGAAGAACCCACCCCTTTAGGAGCCTTTCTATAGGGACCCTTTTCTAAGATGAGGGGGTTTAGAGTTTGGAATGTTATATAAAACCAAGTCCTTGATCGCATTTTTAAAGCTCCTATATTATTCTGCTGAAGGTGTTCCCAAAGGATCCAAGTACCAATATAGTAGCCAATTTAATAGACATTCGGGCCCCAAAAAGGTGTGTACGATGCCATTACTTGCACCTCTTGGGTTTAGGGCCAGCTTAGGGCCCTCAACCCTAAACCACTAAAGCCCTAAACCTCTTAGGTTTCGAGCCATCTTAGGGCCCTAAGCCCTAACTAAAACTCAAAACCCTAACACTCTGAACCTGAAGCCCTCAAGCCTAAACCCTTAAACTCTAAAGCCTAAGCCCTAAACCCCCAAACCCCTAAACCCTAAACCCGGAAAGGGCCGTGAAAAAATACAATAAACTCCGGAAAAGTGCCATTAAAAACACTAAACTCCGGAAAAGGGCCGTTAAGCAGAAAAAAAAGTAAACTCCGGAAAAGTGCCGTTTAATTAAAACAAAAAACCCTAAGCTCTGCAAAAGTGCGGTTTAAACAACAACCCTAAACTCCGGAAAAGGGCCGTTAAAAAACAAGCTGAACCCCAGAGTTTTTGGATTCTGGGATGCCAGGCTTTCGCGCGTGGACGGCTGCCGTGAAAAGGGCTCGGGAGGAGCTTGGGGTGTCAGGCGCCGGGTTTTTGGGACCCAGGGGGTTTAGGGTTTCAGGGTTTAGTTTAAGGATTAGGGTTTAGGGGTTAGGAATAAGGGTTTAGGGATTAGTGTTTCGAGGTTAGGGATTCGGATTTATAGGGTTTTAGGGTCTAGTTTGAGGATTTAAGGATCCCAAAAAGGGACTTAGGGAGTTTTAGGGACTTAGTTAGGGGTTTTAGGGCATTGGGGCTTGAGGGTTTAGTCTAAGGAGTTAAGGATGAGGGTTTATAGGGGTTAGGGGTTAGGGATTCGGGTTTAAGGATGCGGATTTACAGGGTTTAGGGTCTAGCGTTTTAGGGACCCCAGAAGGGATTTATGTAGGGTTTGAGGGCTTTGGGATTTTGCAGGAATACCCCTACCTAGTATTGGGCTTCATTGTAAAAGGTTTGTTTGGGATATCCCTGCCCTATCCTCATTTTTTGCTTATGCTTTTCGGGGGCCTTAGCTTTGGTCTCATATTCCCGAATAAGGGTTCCTTCAAGGCATCTTCCAGGGCTCCCCTAAGGGATCGTTCAGGGTTCCTGCACGGGACTTACCCAAACGCCTGTAGAGATTCCTGCTATGGAAACCCTAGTTTCTACTGTCTGGATACTTATGACCTTCTGGAATTCGGAGTTTTTGGCTCTAACAGTACTATAAGATTCCTTTCAGGATTTCTATGGTGAGGGTTTGGGGTTTTTTTAAACTTGGCAGGAGGCTACGGGTTTAGGGCCAGGGTTTGCGCCGTTTAAGGGGCTTTGGCCTGTAAATGGCACTATGACGGTTTCTTCTATATGGATGGGGTTGGGGTTTGAATTCAGGACTTTGGGTTTGAGGGATTTTTCCTTGAGGCTTACTCTCCGATATGGGAGTTTCCTTATTTTGGGGGTCCTTCATAAGGGTCCTACTATTCAGGGTACTATATTAAGGTGGAAACTCCCATATCCCTGAGCTGGCTTCAGACAGGACGCGATACTTGTTTGATTTTTCTGTACATCGCTTACGTAAAGGATGTTTATTCTCTTAAGTCTTGGACTAGCTACTAGCTTAGTCGACGTTCAATCTAGAGGATGCACCATGAAGTTGGGTACCTTACAGATTGTGTGGAGTTCAGAGCGTCTTTCTGTCAGTCAAGCGCAGTTCTTCCTCGAGGTTTTTGCGCCGAGCGCGTCGAAATGGATAATAGGAGTTTCCCGCTTTCCAAGGAAAAGTTCCGTTTGGATGTCTGACTTCGAGCTCCAGACATAGCGAACTCAATACCGTTTACGAGGATTGCTGGGTATGAGTTCTTCAACGTTTCTAGAGTTTCTTGCTTGGGGACAGGGGCTGAAATGCCTGATCTTAGGAACCACCCAATGCCGACTTGAAGCGCTTTCACGGTTGCTTCATGCCTGTACCCGGTGGTCGGCTCTTTGAGACAAGCTACGATCAGAGTACCGAAGGCCAGAAAGTCAAACAGCAGAAGATACAGTACTTAATACCGCGAGCAACCTTTAAGGTCGAGGTACCTCATAAACAACAATAATGGCAGTAATAGTCGTAATAATATTAGCAATAATAACAATTATAATAATAATAATAATAATAATAATAATAATAATAACAATAATAATAACAATAATAATAACAATAATAGTAATAATAACAATAATAATAACAATAATAGTAATAATAATAATAATGATAATAATAATGATAATAATAATGATAATAATAATAATAATAGTAATAATAGTAATAATAATAATAATAACAATGATACACATAATATATATATATATATATATATATATATATATACGTATGGTTTGTTTAAGGCTTCTACGGCACCAGCCATATAGGGGCTGCGGAGGTCAATCTTGTGCGGGTTGTGCAGTCTTAGAGTTTGAAATGTCCACCTTTCGTTTCCTGTCGGGTTTTACGCCGTCCGGAGGGTACATGTTCCTGTGCCTGGTTTCGGGCACTTACCCTGCAGGATCAAAGCACCCTTTCATATCATATAGCGCATGTAAGACCCTGTAAGATCCTACACGGACCTATGCAACTATTTATTAATACTGCGCAAACTAAAGCGACGTCAGCGGGCCTCTTTCTTTAGTGCGAATTTAGAAGCGTCAGGTCAAAACCAAACGAAATCAGCGACCTCAGCTCCAAAAAGCTTGGAAAGCCCTCCTCGGCTTTGGCGAAAACCTTGGCGATTTGCCGTGTAATCACGGCAGGGAAATGACCTAATGAAGGTCGGTGCCGCAGCTTGGTCCAAGGGAAACCGTGGACAGGGATGCAAGCATTATGTAGCCACAGTCGCTATGTTTCTGGATTCAAGCCCCGCTGCATGCATTTGGCCCTGAGCTGCGAAACGTATCCGGACGTAGCGTGGAGTTTGGGATGTTCGGGCTGCAGTTATATATATATATATATGTATGTATGTATACCCAGGAAACTCTTAAATTCCGTCTCGGAAACACGGGCGACCACCACCCCAGTTTCAACCACGAAAAAAAGTGCGACGTCATGATCGAGCCTGGTTTGAGTTTTGAAATTTGTATATTTTCGCCAGATCAACACCTTTTGGACCCTTAGGGTAAATCAGGCGTATACATAGGGCAGCAGACGAAACAGACGCAAGTGACAGTCGTGGCAGGCTTCGCCGTTGTGAAGCACCTTGGCTCAGAAGTTTCCTTAACCTTAAACTCTAGACCTCAACTTTCTAGTTTCTAGGTCCCATCCCGAGTCCACACAGTCAGCCTGTCTGACTCGTTGTAAAGATGCGGCGGCTGTCTTTTTGTCCGTGATGATGCGGTCGAGGGGTTAGGCGTTGTACCACACAGAAGTCATGAGTATTTTGTTTTAGTTAAGCTTCTAGGTGCAGATGGCTCCAACAATGCCGCAAACCCACAGCCCCAGCCCCTTAGCTAAGGGACACAAGCCGATCTCGCACAACTTCACTACAACTCTGAATCCCTGAATCCTTGGCCCTAACACACCAAACCTGAAGCCACGCATTGAACACATCTTGAGAACAGAGAGCTCTAGGGGCGCTGAACTTTAAATGAGCCCCCTCAGAAAGCCCAGAGACCCTAAAACCCGAAACTTCCTCATGCACAGAGAAAAGTAACCCTGGGAGCCCTGCTTAGGAACAAGCCAAACCTGAATCCTACGGTTGATGATATAAATCCTGCATGACCCATAATAAGGAATATACCATAATTCCCATAGTTTAGGGTCCTTAAGGTAATGCAGGATTTATATCATCAACAGTAGGTGCCCTAACCCTGTTTTGCTTAGAAGCCCAAAAGGCTTTTCTTGAACAACAGACCTGGATCCTTATGAGAGCCCTGCGAGCCCGAGAGCCTTACGAGCTCTAAGAACCCGAATCCCCCCAGTTAGGATGCCGCTAGAAGTTTTACTCCATGTAGTGGCTAAACCAGTCATGGAGTTAGGATGCCAAGTCAGTGCTGTGATGGATCAAAGGGGCAAAGGAGGGACCCTTAATGGGGACCCTTACCCTATAATGGGCTATATAATGGGTATATCATAGCTACATAAAGGGTATACACCTAGGGGTCCCCATTATAGGGTCCCTCCTTTTCCCGTTGGATGGAGGATCTTGCCATGCCATCAGCTGCCGCAACAGTTGAACGGAAAGACAGAGGCAGAGGCAGATGTGTTTTAGCTACCACTGCAGAGCCGTCCTGCATGTGACCTCAGGAAGGGAACGCCTCTCTACGACAAAGCGCAGGAAATCTACAAAACTTCGAACGAACCAAAGCAGTGAGTCAAGCACCTTCGTGGCTGAAGATATGGGAGCCTGTAGTCTAGTGCTAACATGTCACTTTGTGTTGCCATACTCCTGTAGCCTGCAGCCGTTGCCAAGGGTGTAGGCAAGTAAGGTATGTAAGGTACAAGGCCCCATATGTCTCATGTCATGTGTAGAGACTGAGAATCCCGGCCGCTGTGGGTGTTTCTCAAGCTCAGAGAGCTCATTGCTAAGAGAATGTGAGTAACACGGACAGAAAACCACACCCGACAAACACTAGCTGAGATGGCAGCCCAATGTAGCAGCCGGCATGTTTCAGTTTGGGGTCCTCTTGTACAGAGGTTGCTTGGACACCCGGGGGTCTGGGCTCATCGCAGGCAGCGCAAGGAAGCATGCGGGTCGGAAACGTAGATGTACAGCCCGCCCTGCTACTAGGATGCCCAGTATTATCCTTATTCCCTTTTTGTAGTCCTAGGTTCCTTATAAAGTTACCCAATACCAAAAGGAGCCGTTTGTATTCCGAGGTTACTGGGCATCCTAGGCTAGCAGCAATCAGCCCATGAGCAAGCCTTCAGGTATGCCCGACGGTCCGCCTTCGTATGCTCAAACGCCTCGCAGCTCCGTGCCCTCACGTTTGCAACCAGACGGCCCGAAAGCCCCAACCTCCAACTCGGAATCCTTTAACCCCCTCAAAAACGCCCGCGACATGCACTAGAATAACAATGAAATAACAGTATTATAACGATAACAAGATTAATAATAACAATAATAGTAACAACAACAACAAGAAGTCAGCACTAAAAGCACGAGCAGCTTCCTGTGCTCCTGCTAGGACATGTACAAAAGTTTCACCGCCCTCCGTGGAGAATCCATGAGTGCAGACGTGTACTATAGTTCATGCTGCCCGCCAGAAAACGTTGGTTCCTTTCTGGGTCGTATAGATCTCGAGGGGGGTTTCCGAAAGTAGGGGACCCATACTATAGCACCCTGAATAGTAGGATCCTTGTTATTACAAGGACCCCTGAATAAGGTACCCCGGTTTAGGGACCCTGATTTTGCTTCATCCCTGTTAGCCACAAATACCCCACTTCCACATAATATTAGCACCTAACCTAGAACTTGTTAAAAGCAGCCGGGCTGCTAAGGTAGACCCCTGCTGCCGTCAAAGAGCTGCTCTTAGGGTTAGAGATGGGGCTTCAGGCTTTACGAGTTCAGGATTTGGGAATGTTCGTTAAGAGCAAATCGGGCCAGGGCATCAGGGTTTAGGGTTGAGGGTTTAGGGTTTAGGGTTTAGGGTTGAGGGTTTAGGGTTTAGGGTTTAGGGTTTGGAGACATTTTTCTGGATATTGCTTCCCCAGGCACAGAGCGGATTGAGGCTTGCCTGGAACCCACGACTGTGCAGAACAATATCCATTTATAGGTTTTGGGAAATTATGTCACTTGGGGCTTGGGTAGGGCGGATTGCAGGGATACTTAGTGTTTGAGGGTTGCGCACGGCCTATAGCTGTTTGGAGCAAGCCCTAGGCTCTCCTATGCCCTTACAACCCCCCTCATTACCCTATAAGCTATAAACCCATAAGCCGTACAAGCCGTGGACCCACCACAGCTATAGCTACAAGCCCTACACCCCTAGCCGCCAAGGTACAATTAGGCCCTACAAGGCCTGGACCCATCATAGCCTTTTGCTACGCCTGGTGCTCAAGCTCAGTAGTTGGCAAAGAAGCGTCGGTAGCACGTCCAATGGCCGCTCTCAAAAGGCCGCGGCCTCGGTTCGTTTCTATTGGGGTTTCTTTAAGGGTTCCTCTACGCGTTCCTTGAAGGATTTATTACAGCTTCCTGTGCCGTTCCGTCAGGGTTCCGTTTTGGGTTCCTCTAATCGTTGCTCTTTAAGTAAGGGTTCTTTACAGGTTTTCTTGCTGTTTCCGCAAGAGTTCTTACAAGGGTTTGTTCAAACAAGTGTTTCGTTAAGGGTATATTGAGGGTTTGTTCAAGGGACCTGAGTTGTAGTGTCTTGTACAATACGGCCTATATGGTTTGGGCTTCCAGGATACCCCGAACCCTAAACTCTAAAAGTACATAACTCCGAATTTCACGTTGTGCTAATGCAGTGGGATTCTGTTCCTGGAGGTTGCTGGGTAGTTAAAAGTGGGGTTATAATTCCCCTAATTTGGGTGATGAGTATAGTTACCCTACTTATAGCCCTACTTATAACTACCCCTAAATCCTAAACCCTATAATCCTATCCTTAAACCCGAAAGAGCCCTTAAAGGAGCCCTACTTATAACTACCCATGAGCCTCCAAGTAAAGGTTGAGCAACTCGCCAGGCTCTCGAAACCCTTGAGCGCAAACAAAAAGCCCTCAAATCCAGAAGCCCATGATACGCATCACCTCAAAAGGATCCTGTAAGAAACCCCTCATGTAGCCTTTAACCCTTAAAGCCATAAACTGCCCATAAACTCCTGTAGCCCTTATAGGAGCCTTTTTAAGGAACCCTTCAATCCATGGGGACCCTTTTAGAAAGCCCTTCTTGGCCGCCTTTAAACGCCCTGTCCCGAGACCTGCAGCGGCTCCTGAGCCGAAGAAAATGAATGACCTGGTGATCCTGGAGTACCAGGCCTTAACCCAAAGGGTCCAAAGTACCTAGAAAGTAGAGTGTAGGGTTTCTATATTAGGAATTACTATTATGACTTGGGGAAGCATCTCCCATAACAGTACCTAGGACCCTTTGGGAGTACCAGGCCTTAGTAAACTAGGATGGCCTTTGGGACATTTTACATTTTCCCTTATTGGGGTATAGGGGATCTTGTATACGAATAATTTTCAGAGGCTTTGAGGGGCCAACCTACAGGGGGAGGGGTTGTGACTACCACGGTTGAGGATTTAGGGGTTCGGGTTTCTAATAGGGCTTTGGGAAGGATTATGATTTGTATACTGATCTTTCTGATTGCAAGAACTAATATGTATGATAGTTATGATAGTTAGCATTGGAGTGCCAGGCCTTAATGTTATGGCTACCACGGTTTACGGATGAGGGTTGTCATCATGCAGTAAGAGAGTACGATGGTAAATAATAGAGTACCCAGCCTTGGTGCATTTCGGCTTAATCTACTTTTAGGATGAAGGGGCTTAGTAAGCGGGTTGTAATTCGAGTCATAAGTCCCCTAAGCCGGGCTATCGTAGTTATAGCCTACTTGAAACCCTGCTTACTACGTCCCATGAGCCTCTAAGTAGGGTGTCGGGTCTATCATTGCGCTTGCAATGAGTACCAGGCCCACAAGCTGCAGGGTTACGATGACATGAGTGTTGCTACCCAGAGATTCCAATATCCCTTAAGGTATTTCCTGACTTAAGGGATATTGGAGAGCCTCTAGGTACTGTTAAATGATTGGCAATAGCAAGATCAGGGAGTGCTAGGACGGTTTAGGGTTAGGGCCAGGGATGGTTAGCGGTTATCTTGGTTAAGGTCATAGGGTTTGGAGTACCAGGCCTTGAGAGATTATGGTTACTATTCTGATTACGGTAATGATGATAAGAATACTACGTATGGTGGTCAATACTGAAACATCAAGCCTTGAGAGGGGTTGTGATTACTTCCATGATCACTATTAAGCGTACTTGGTTAAGGGTTTGGAGCACCAGGCCTCTCGGGTACAGGGCTCATATCTTATGAAGACTAGCTGTGTTGCATGACGGTTACTCGTGCTGTTGAGGTTGCTACTGATAGCAGTAGCAATAACAGGTAGCTTGGGTCCAGGGCTTTTGCCGGTTTTGTTGCGATTATCATTCACATTGCTATTGGTATTGCTTCTAGTGACTTCTTGGAGGTTCAGAGTCACTCCAATTACCCCTGTTATCATTAGTGGATTATTAGTACTCTCAGTGTTGTTACTGGCGTGGTTATCTGTTTTGCGAGGGTGATGAACATAGCCACGTTTCCGATTCCTTTCTTATTAGGTAGTCATCTTATGTACTGTTCATTATGTTGTAGCTATTAATGGTACTAGTTTCGTAAAAATCAGTGCTACTGCTACTGCTTATGAGATGATCCAAGCACTATGTGGGTGGTTGTCACAATTAGGGTCCCTTTCTGAGTCCCTAGTTTAATAGGGCACTTAGTATTTCGGGTACCCAAAAAGGGACCATAGTTTGAAAACTTCACGTGTATATTGTCATCCATCCAATGACCCGTGAGCAGACATCAACTTCTCGTACCTGAAGACTCCCAAAAAGACAAGTAAATACTATATATAGACTTTAGACCAAAACACAGGTACTGTTCGTACACTTGGAGTCGTACGTCTTACGGCTAAGGTAGAAACAAGAAAGTTGGAACATCATCCTTGTGCCCTTCAGTTAAAGTATAGGGAAGCCTAGCACGAATCATCGCAGTTCCATCTTGCAGCTTTCCAGGGAAATACACTTCCAAACTAGATTGCAAGAACCCACATGCTCCATCCTTCGAGGTTATCATTTAACCGCAGCCGCTAGCCTTTCCTGCAACATCAAGCAAACAAGCCGAAGCAGATGCAATACCGAAAAGCGCGGGTCGCAAACAGCCACAGCATGCGAATCATGCAAAGTTCCGTTAAAAACTTCTTCACAAAAAGCACATGTAGTTCGCCGTTTGAAACCGATGAAGCCCTGAGGGAGTTTGCCTCAAACCCTCAACCCTGGAATGCCCTGCGATTAGCCTCCAAGCCCTTCTACTCATATTTACATGTATGTAAAATGTATGTTGACAATTATGTGCGTCATATACATATGTATATATATATATATACATGTACGCATGTATGTATGCCCCCTATCAAGGCTTTCTCTTTGCCATGGGAATGACTTGGTGATATAAAGCGCCCAGAAACTCCTCTAAAGCTAAAAACGGATTACAAAGCCTATAAAGCCACACACAAAGAACCCGATAGAGCTCAAAGGCCTGAGAACAAAGACACAAACCTTAATCCCTTATGCCTCTAGCCCCTAAACCCTAAATCCGAACCATATGCCTCGCCTGGATTTTCTGAGTGCGAGCGCCGAAACCCTAAAATCACCAAGACCGTAAATTTTGGAAAAACACCATCACAACCCTCGGAGGGCCCCTCAGAACCCAAAATTACTCCCTAAACCGCAATGCGGGCTACGTCCTCGCTTGGTCGGAGGGAAACAAGCCACAAACCCTAGACCAACCAACCAACCTAAACCCCACAGGACCTTAAACCCTCCCAAACCCTAAACCCTCCTAAACCCTACAAAGCATAATCCCTCTTAAAGCATCCAAAACCCTAAACCTCGCAGGACCTGGTGGATGGCAAGGACCTGAAATCTCAGGTCTTCGAGGCCTTTGGCCCAGGCCTTGGCCTCGGATCTCGCCGCCTTTGGGGCAATTCTTACGTAAGTCCCCTATATTGGGGTTTAGGGTTTAGGGTCTAGCCCCTAATAATTAGAGTAATTGGTTTCCTTTAACAGGGGTCTATAAGGGTTGCTATGAGGGTTCTATGGTAGAGGGGCCTCAATAATTAGAGTAGGGTTTTGGTGTATGTAATCTTATAAATGTAATCAGGAGCCCGAACCCTAGGAGCTGCAGTGCAGTTCAGACCTGGATTCTCAGGTAATTGGATATTGAAGAGATGGAGGGCAACCTGCATCTGCACGCGAAGCACTAATTGGATTACTTGCTTCCCCATGGGACCGATATGGGAGTTTCCGAAAATTAGGGGTACCTTATTTGGGGGTCCTTATAATAAGGATCCTACTATTTAGGGTACTACATTAGGGTCCCCCATTCTCGGAAACTCCCATATGCTCCGCTAATTGCTACTTGTACAACCGACCTTGGGGCCTGAACCCTAAAGCCTCACACCGAGAGCTCGAAACCTAATGTAGGAGCCTGGCTAAGAAACCTTGGGCCTTTATTAGGGTTCCTTCAAAGGGGTCTATGAGGGTTACTGGGTTACTATAAGGGATCCATAAGGGTGCTCTAAATTGTAGGAACCTGATTAAGAAGCCGTTGGCCTGTAGTAGGGTTCCTTCTATGAATCCTACATTTTGGGGGTTACAGACCCAGGGTTTCTGAATCAGGTTCTTATATTAGGTAGAAGCCCTCCACCCCCCCCACCACCACGCCCCCCGGCAAGTTCCAGCAGACCTCCCATCACTCGCCCCAGCCACCAAAGCTCGAGCGAGGTGGTCTGGGCATTTGTGGCATTCGAGGAGTGCCAAAGCTTGAGGACAGCACGCTCTGAAGTCTTAACATTTAGCCAGCGACCCTATAAGCCTAGAACTTGGAGTGATTACCCCACCCATCCTTCGGGTTTGCAGTTTAGGGATTCGACGCCGAGAGGTTTTGGGGGATTCCAAGAACGTGTGTTTCGTTGGCACCCCTACACGGACAAGCCCTGACGTCCCAAAACCCGAAACTCTGTACCTGCCAGAGTCTACTTCCCAGTTCTGTCTACGACTTTGAGCACGTGCTTGACAACGCCCGGCGGACACGGAGCAGAGTCTCTGGGCATGCCACACAAGATGCCCGGATTGGGCTGTGCGCAAATGCCTCCTTGTACGGCTCAGAGTTTGACACATTGCCTCTCGCGCGTGCTGTGATGTGCATGTACGATGGACTTGAAACGGCACACAAACAAACACAAACATGGTCAGGAAGATCACTTGATACGGTGGAGCGATTGCTCAAGCACTGCTGCTGTCATGACGAGGCAAGTAGCTGCGCACGCACTTGATAGACACTTCCAGGCGTGTACGCGGCATGAGTCCAACGGCGGCTCTCGATCTCCATTCCTGAACTGGGCTCAGCTGACTGCATTTGCAACAGACTATGCCGATCATGGACTCAACCAGGTCAGATGTTCACTTGGGTGGTTGTCAAAATTATGGTCCCGTTTTGGCTACCCTAAGTAGTAGGTGCCGTACTATAATAGGGACCCAAAACGGGACCCTAATATTGACTACCACCCACTTAGAATTGCGATGTAGAGAGTTTGGGTAACGTTAAGGTCTGGCTTTAGTTGTAGGGTTCCAGGGGGTAAGTCACAGGGGTTACGGCGGGTTGAGGGGTTCCCAGGTCAGGGTGCAGGGTTTGGACTTTAGGCTGTAGGGTTCAGGGCGTATGGGTGGTTGTCAATATTAAGGTCCCTGTTTGAGTCCCTATAAAAATACGACCCGTAATAGTTGGGATACCCAAAAAGTCATGGCTTCGTTTCCCCCCCCCCCTAGACCCCCCCCCCCCTTCTAGCGACACCTCCGAGCGTCTAGTGAGAAATGGCATTTCCCACATACGAATCTTGCTCGGCAAACTCTGGGCCGGGCAGGCCAACAGCATGCAACGCCTCAGCAACAGCAAGGCCTTAGCAAGGCCTCAGCAAGGCCTCAGGCCATGTCAGAACCCCCGTGGCCGATCAGGGCCATCGGAGGCTTCCTGTGAAGGTTACGCAACCAAGATAGAGGCCTTACCGAGGTGCTACTGTGACACATGTCCTGCCGAGGCCTTGGCAAGCACTTGCTAAAGGTTTTTTTTGGGGGGGGGGGGGAAACGAAGCCATGAAAAAGGGACCCCAATTTTGACAACCACCCATATCGGGGTTTGGGGCAAAAAGTCTGGAGCAGCTTCAGGGCCCTAGAGCTTCCAATCCAGGTGGAGAGCCCTGACACCCAAAAGCCATCAGATGGAAAAAGGTGCTCAAAAAAGCCATCAGAGAAACACCAGAATTCAACACCAGCAGACTTGTGTTGTAAACCCCGACATCCTTGCAGCTCAACTCCGCCCATTGGAAAGCATGCACTGAACCTCTGCTGACTATTGTCGCATCCGAACCAGAATAATGTGCAAAATCCTCGTTACAGCAATGCTAACATCGTCGTGTGCAGCCTTCGGAAACGTACATCCTAAACCCGAAACCCTGTGTGGCACAAATCTCGCGCAGGAAGTGCGCCGAAAGCTTTTGCCGCTCTCCCGGCGCCTTGCGCAGCTGCCGAAGGATGCGACCTGAACCCTGAACCCTGTAGGGTTTAGGAGGTAGGGTTTAGGGTTAGGGTTTAGTATAGGATGAAAGGTTAGAGTTTAATTAGGGGTTTAGGGCTTGATGGAGCCCTTATTGTCCTTAATGGCGGGTATTTAGGAGACATTAGAGGGTAGTTGGGGGGTCTAAATAGGACCTGGACTATTGACTTTAGAACCTGCACGCCGCGGAAGCCCTGCACAACTTTATAAGGCCGCGCTATACACTATTATATGGCGATATGGACCAATACGGGGCTTGTCAGAGGGTTGTTTGTGCAGCGGGTCCCTGAGACCTTTTGCTGGGCCTACGGATTGCTACTCAGAAGACAGGGCTACATGCATAGGATGCTTGGGTCAGATTTGGGGCTTCTAGGGAAGGCTGTACATAGGGGTTTGAGGAGTTTACTGCTTAAGGGTTCAAGCTTCAAGAAGTGGAGCATAAAAAATTGATAAAAATTGCAGGATCTGTGTAGGGGCTGTCATCATACCCTAACCCCTAAGCCCCTAACCCGAAAACCCTAACCCTCCGACCTATGACCACACACCTCGCCTGGGGTGCACCGAAACAGTAAGCTTACCGGTGGCCTAGAAACCCTGGCTGTTTAAGGCTCCTTGTCAGGGTTTCTTCATGTAAATCATTGCAAGAGGGTAGCTTTTTGGGGGGGCTAGAGGTAAGCCTCAAACCCTCAACCGTTCGACTTCGGGAGGTGAGCAAAGTATGTGACCCTTGACAGTCCATGTTGTATAGACTTGGGTCCTACAGTACCTATATGGGAGTTTCCGAAAATAGGGGACCCTAGTACAGTACCCAGAATAGTAGGGTCCTTATTATAAGGCCCCCAAAATAAGATACCCCCAATTTTCGGAAACTCCTATATGATGACCCCTTCTCGGGCCTAAGTATATACTATGTGAACCACACGGAGCATTAAGAGCAGCTTGTCAGAGGACAGGACTTCCAGGATTGTACGGGGATTAGGGTTAAGGAAAAGCCGCGGAAGTCAACAGCCTCATGGGCCCCATAAGGCCCTATAGCCTTGGCTTTAGGTAGGATTTAGGGTTATATGTTAACGGTTCAGGGTTGAGCTGCGGGTTTCGGAATCCCTATGAACCTAAAGCCCTGAAGCCGGCGAGCGCCTTGATACCCTAAAACGTCAGTGAAGTCCAGGGCTTGGAAGTTCAGACGGTCAAGCCGCCCAATCCCGGTCTAGAGGGTTTTCCACAAACCTTGAACCCGAAATATCGAATGGCTATTCCGGAACACAGCCTCTCGCGATGTGCATAGAAAAATGCACTGTATCGTGGTGGCCAATGGAACAACTAATGGAACCCTCAACCGTTCAACTCGCAACAGAAACAATCTTTCGCCAGGTGTGAGCCTGAACTGTATCTCCCGAGGTGGATTACTAAGTCCGTGTGGTTCTGACAGATGATCCCCCAGTAAGAGCCCCTTAACTCCAAGACTTTGTCCGTTCAATAAGTTCAACCCGTTTGGAGGGCACAGTCTTGCATAAATATGTCGGGATCATAATGGGACATAGCCTGGCTCTAGTTGGTAGTTCTTCTGACCCCTTTTCCATGTTTTAGCTTAGAGATAGGGTTCCCACGAGTGGCATGGGTGGAGGTAGTTTGGGTGTGGGCCACGTCGTACTCCAACGCGAACGCCGGCGTTGCCCCTCCCAGAACAAGCCAGTGCGCCCGGCCCTATGAGGCGATCCTTAGAGACCTTGCTCGGGGGAGTGGTGCGCAGCACGGCAAAAAGCACTGGCTGGTGTGGGGCCTTCGTCCTTCACTGAATTGAGCACAGCTGTGGACAGCACTTGGGCGACGGCAGCTTGACCAGACCCACTGCAACGACCTGGGCTTTGTGCCTCAACATTGCCGAGTCTCTACAAGGCATTCACAAAAAGCATGGTCCGCCGTGGCACCACGAGCCATCTTCGCAGCTGCTGCTCAGGCTGCTGGTTGGGGGGTCAATGAGCAGAAACGGATCATGCTATGATTCAAGAAGCGTGTTGCACTTGGCCTCTTCTAGGCCCCTCGTATGACCTACCTACTTACCCAGAGGCCCCAAAGTAGTTCCTTTTTGGGGTTCACATATAGAATCCTACAAGGTAAGCCCAAAAAGGACCTACTTTGGGGCCTATGGGTACTCTAAACCCTCATCCCATGGAGCCCCTTAGAGGGCCCTTAAGCCCTAAACCCTAATAGCACCTGCAAGCTTGGGCCTTGAGGATGTCTTGGAGACCTACGAGCGAGCTGATGCGCATTACTGCGCACCTCTGCAGCACACCACCTGGGGTAATCATACCTGAAACTGAAATCTTAGTTGAGGGTCCCTATAGACTCTATATTGGGGTTTACAATAAGAAACACCTTCATACTCAAACTACACATGTTGAGGGTCCCTTAGACTCTATATTGGGGTTTACAATAAGAAACTACAGAGAACTATGGTAGTTTAGGGTAAAGGGTTTGCGGTTGTGGTCTGGCTGCTAGCCAATTTGGGCGACTACAGCAGCTGGAAGTACTTAGGCTCGCCAGGAACTATGGCAAGTACGTCTTATGAATGAATGTTCAGGGTTTATGCAAGTGTGCAGGGCTTAAGGCTTTAGCCTTAGCTACTCAGATTTCCGGGTTAGGCAATTAAATTGTGTAAATCAGGTTGGTGAGTATCAGCTTAGGGCTTGGAGGTTTAGGTAACCAGCAGGGCTGAGGTAGGTTATGGATTTAGGTGGTTCGAGTCTGAGGTTCAGGTTTGTTGGGTTCGGGTATAGGAAACTAAGATGTCGGGTTTAGGTAGTCAGGCTAATATTCGGGTTTGCCTGGTCGGAGTTTAGGGCTTAGGCTAGCTAGGATGTACTGACCCCTTCAAAGGACTCTTCACTTCATGGGTCAGGATTAAGCCCTAAATCAGATCGTGATGTCACCTCGTATTTCATGCCGAAATGCCTTCAAGTTCGAAAACCATAGCCCAATTCCTCCTGCTCCTGCTGTCAAACTGAGCTGGGCGCTTAATGTTTAGTCGTCGTGAAGAAAACCTGGCCACCCCCAAAAGTCGTCTTCCTGAAGCCTTGCAGTCGGATGTTTGCAGACCGATTGACTATTGAAACCCTTATCTTGAGCTTCAAGCGCATACATTCTGAATACGAGACTTTTTTGTGGGGTTAATTACAAGTAATCCTAAGCCCGAGACCCCGGGATCATCACGGAGCCCGACAAGAAACCATGCAGTAAGGCTTTGTTGCAGCTTCAAAACTTAGATATAGTCTCGAGTCCGGAAGCCCCCAAGCCGCTTTTCAACTTTCCCAAAAGACCAAGCGACATGCATACCCCAACCCTTCAAAGAAGATTTAGGCATTCTATCGTTGAGTGTCAGTGTCGTTGAATGCCTTCGCATTGCATGGCATGCATGCGAATGTGTATGCCTGTAATGTTCACCGATCCATCTACACGTGTCGGTCTACCCATCCACCTATTTGTCTCTCTGGTCTATCTACCTGTCTGACTATCTATCCATGTATCTATCTGTCTGGCAATCAACATTTGATTTCAATACTCCGAATAAGTACGGCGAGACACCAGTCAAAGACGTGAAACGGGGAAGGGCATACAAGAACCTGGACCTAAGTGCTGTTGCCTACCTTCGAAACTACTAAGCAGGTAGAGCCGCCCGACGGCTAAAGCATTTAGTGAAAAGCCCCAAGCCACACACCAGGACTTAAATACACTATCCTTAAATGCTTTGAGACTGCAGTCGAACCGTAATGAGTAATGCAACAACGCAGCGCCTGAAAAGAAACGATAGCATATAAACTATCAACCCAAAAGACCCCAAACCCTCAAACTTATGCCCCTCCGACACTACCCTAAAGTCTCATGCACGCTCGAGCCCCCACTCCTGCCCCTAATGAAACCCTAAACTCCTAAACCCTAGAACCTAAGTAACTATAGGCTTTAGTTTATCCTAGCCTTTACATGCCCAAAATTCTAAAGTCGACTGTCTCATCTTAGTCGGGAGGTCGGCTGGAGCCACGGGCGTGAGAAATTCAAAGGCTGGCGATGCGTCATATGGGGCTTATAGCGGTGTAAAGTGGGGTGTAAAGTGTTGGCTTTTACATGACATGGGGGTTTATAGGGGCTTAGGCCATTCAGGGACTGTGGGGTTCGGGATTTATGGTTTCTCGTTTTGCTCCCAGCAGAGTGCGTGCAAAAGGGTGGAGAGCAAAGTGCAGTAGGGCTTGGTGTGTGGGGGCCTTTTAATGCAAGATTTCTACGAGGTTGCACATTGTGCAGCGCGACGATCCCAAAGTTGTTCCCCACCTTTCACAGCAAGTCCTATCTCTTCATCAAGCTCGACCAGGACTCTGCTTCCTGGTCTTGCAGGTCGTAGACTGATAGGCCCGATATCCTGAACCCATGAATTTTGCTGCAGCCCTCTACATAAGCAGAAGTTCCTAAGCCCCCCTGGAAACCCATTAACTGGTGTACTTTCTAAACCCGAAGCCATTGTAGGAAACAGAAAGTCAAAGCCTCCTGCAAGGCGCGCTTATAAACTTTTTCTCAGGAGTTTTCTATGTTGCTTTGTATTGGGAGCTAAAGGGTATCGTTGAGGCCGGGTTTTCATATGCTCCACAGAACAAGAGTACAGACTCAGATTAGGGGTCAAAGGAACTCCTTTTCAGGTAGTTGGCTTCGGGTTTGAGGCTGGTAAACTCGCAGCGATCGCAAGTCCCGTATCCTAACTTTGAAGCTGCCCCCCACCCTGTAATAGTGGTATAATAGAATATAATAGGGCCCTAATATAATCCTTATAGTCACTATTACAGGGTGGGGGCAGCTTCTAAATCCTAACCATCTTTGACCCGGGACCTGGCCACGAGATCCCGGGTGCTCCCAAACCCTAAGGTCCCGAAGAAATCCACGTACCACTCCTGTAACAAATTGCAAAATCAACTTGAATTCATCACCACGATGGACTTGGTGACCTTCTTCAGCCTTCCCCCATGCATACTATAGAGCTCCAAATGTCACTTGTCAGGTAAGCCGGATCTGGCCAAAGGCAGCTTCTATGCCAACCCGCTCTGGGACGATCCGGCCGGCGGAAATGAGGAATTGTAGGGGCGCTTGGGAAGACTGCTCTGGCGCTACCGCTTGAACTGCTGCTACTACTACTACTACTACTACTACTACTACTACTACTACTTCTACCTCTGCTTCTACGTCTTCTATTGCTGGATTGTGCCTGCAAGTGCGAGCCGGTTTTTGACGTCAATCTGGCTGACTTGGTAAATCTTGCCAATCTCGACCTCTTGACCCACTTTGGGGGAGGGGGGCGGAAATCTTGGTCATTCTGGTCATCAAGGTTGCCAAGATTACCGGTCCCCTTTTTCTTGCAGGAGGATTGGCAAGATTGCGAGCACAGTCTTGGTCGCTGATCTGCTGTCGTTTCCCGGCACGCTGTACTACTACTACGACTGCGACTATGTCTATACTGCTGATGCTGCTACTACTACTACTACGCCCACCCCCAAACCTGGAAGAACCGGCACCAAATGTGATGGAAGGGGTTGATGAGGATGATGATGTTATCGTCTGTTATCGTATCGACGCGTCGTCCGATGATGAACGATAAACCGTACAAAAATGCCAGTAATTAACAACATAGCCTGCCAAGGACAGAGAGGGCACACGGGTGTGCAACACGCCTCCGATCGCCCCGGTAATTAAATAATTAGTGTCGTCACCTTCGTCACTGTCACTGTCACTTTCAACTGTCTCACTGTACTGTGCCTCCTGGCCTCCTTTCCTTTTCATGCCCCTTTCTGCACTGCCTCTGCCTCTGCTCCCTTGCTGCTTCCTTTTCTCTCACCTTTCTCTTCTTTTCTTGCACTGAATACTGGCTACGTTCTCCCACTCGAAGTTTCACCATCTCGGCGCCGTCGATCCATGGAGTGAAATTGGCTTCCCAGAAGTTGTCAGGGGCTGCTGATGACAGTGCTGCCCTTCTCAATGTTGAGGGCATGGGAAATACACAAGTACCGGGAATGACCCCTAACTTACAGCTGCCGTTGAATCGACCACGGTCCTCTCGACCAAAGCCCAGCGACTGCAATGCAGATGCCGACCCAAATACAAAGTGCTGGATGGAGACGGCCCTGGTCTGAAGATGCCGTCAGTGACGATGACATTCTGGCTTGCACCCTGATCCTTCAGCAACGTATCTTGACACACAACGAGGGGACCGCCGGAGCAACATTGCCCCGCAGGCATACCCTTCACCAAAGCGGAGAACGGCCCTGGTCTGAAGTTGCCGTTGGCGTGTGATGGTACCCCACTATGATATCGCAACAAAACCGCGCCGAAGCAACGCTGAGTCTGCAGTTGGACCCCCTGCAATAAGCTGGATGGTCCATGCCTGAAGCTACAGTGGAAACACACCTGCTCCCGCCAGACCAGCTGATCAGAGCAAGGACATTGACCGTTTGACCGCTGCTGTGGAGAGTAAAAGAAGTTCGCAATTTTGGGTGGAGAAAGCTGGACGGCTGCACTTCCCACGAATCCCTCTGGGTCGGTGGTGCCACCACAGCTGATCTCCGGGAGTCTGTGGAGCCCGCCGAACGCAACCTGCGAGATGGGAACACCAGTCATGACCCGACTGCCCCGACGAAGCAGACACTTCTGAAATCTGAGCTGACCAAGTGAACAGTGGGATGTACTGTAGTCGACAGTGGATAATTATAAACAGGTAGGTGGTCAGTGCCGTAAATCGAGGCTGTTTCGCTGGTTGGGATTATCTTATTATGTTTTTGTTAGGTCTGGTTGTCTTTGCCTCGTTTTCTGCACTGACTACCCACTTGCCCCTTGAATTAGGTGCATGGATGTAAAGCGTGACAGCGATGTAATTAAGTAATCAGGTGCTGATGCCTCATATTGCCTCCTTGTGCCATGCCGACCTGCCTGTATAGTCACACCTGCGGACTGGTCTTTGGGTTTTTCGGTCATGCGTGTGGTGAGCCTTTTAAAAGGGTTGGTCTTTACTGCGGTTGTTGTATCAGGTCCGCAGCTACACGCGCCGGCATGGAACTTGTGCTCAGTCTGACTCATACCTTTTCAAAAACGCATGTACAAAACCTGGCTGCCGAAACTCATACTCACGTCGGGTACGTTGAAGAGTGGTCAGGGTTTACTTGTTCTTATTTTGGGTTTGTGAGGATTTCTCTTCGACACAGCCCGATGTGAGTCCCGTAAACTTTCCCAGATCAAGTGGCATCCCGGCGTACTCCGTGGCTCTAACTTCTGTTGTGATTGTTTTTCTGCTGGCTGGGGTGCTCTTGTGACTTGTGAACCTTTAAGTCCCCGCAGAGCTGTCATTGGCGTGCCAAGTGGGTGACAAAAACCACCACCACCACTCCTCCTCCCGTTCCTCGTCCTCCTCCTCATGGTTTAGGAATGTCTTGGATGGAATTCGGGTTTAGGGTTTTGCGAAAAGAGTTCAGAGTAAGCACAAGTGATTCCTGACAGAGACGTCGCAGTCCAATTGCTCATCACAAGACTAGAGCTATATCATGAACTGTGGAATCGCAGACTGATGGTTTAGGATTTGGGGCTCAGGGTGAAAAACGTGGATTTGCAAATTGCATGCGTCATGGTGCAGGGAAGCGCATGCGTCCTTGCCTCAACCCTTGCAGGAGGTACGAGAAAAGTTCCCTTATGCGGCGTGCCTCGGCTTTATCAGATAAGAGCTGCGACGTCCATGGTGATCCGGCAAGCCATCATGTGTCCCGTAGGCCACTTGGTCATTGGCATTGGTTTACATGTTGAAACTTGGATTCGAGACTACGTTCCAGCATTCAGTCACTTCTGTGCTTGTGATACGACAACCTCGGATTTACTTGGTCAGTGTCGTGAAAATTCTCCTGATGGCGACGAGCAGTTCGTATGGCAAAAAGTTGTACTGGTGAAAAGCAATGCTGGTGAAAAGACGGTGATGACGTTGGCGATGAAGACCGTTCTATGAAGATGGCTGCAATGGCGGCTGAGGCAGTGGCAGTGGCACTAACGCAAAGTAGGAATCCATTTGTGTATAGAAGTTTGAGAAAATGCCGGTACCATTCCTGTAGGGTACTTTGTTGTAAGTATGCTCTAGTATACCATAATAATGTAGTATAGTACCTAGTAAGCCCCTCACGAGTCCCAATTATCCGAACAATCAGCTGTAGCGGTGTCCATGCCTTTGATAACAAAGCGGTAGAAATAATGAGTAACAGTATGCCCTGGACAGCCGTAGACAACATACGGTTGCGGGAATATACACCAAGACCCTAACTATCCGAGTCATGAATTCCTCGGTGTTTTCTGTTCAGCCGCGCAAAGGAGCCGCAACATTTGGCCGAAGGCGGGTGCCATCGCAGACAATTCCGGGCTTTTGAAAGGTTGCAATTCGGCCCTACTGCAACGGAATTTAGAACTACACACTATGTACAGATATGATTTAAGGAGACTTCCCCGGTGGAGGCTTGGGCTTGAACCTGCTGCGGCTTCCGTGTTAATGTCTACGACGGCCTAGAATGTTTTGAGGTTATAGACCCTGCAGTACATTCCTTAAACCCCTTTGAAGTGGGCTCGGGAGTTAGAGAGGCTTATTGCGTTTCTATACCCTCCAGTGTACTTCTTTGTTTTGGTACTGACTCATCTTTCCGGATCCTTTTCTGCTCAAAGGAGCCCAAAACGTAAACTCCACAGTGGCCCTTCCATCAGGCTGCTTCTAGAGGAGCCCTTAAAGGAATCCTTACGCCAACCCTGAATGGAACCCCTCACCTGAAGGAACACCACTCGGTTCTTGTGAAGGAATCTAACTTAAAATACCACCACATTTTTTCTGTAGGTCCATATTATCGTAGCTTAAACCTTAAACAAAAACCCTTATATTATAAATCCCTCAAAGGAACCCTTCTAGAGCCCTATTCTTGTAACTTAAAATGCGTCCTTTAAATTAAGTCCTTGTAGCAAGAACCCTTATAGAACCCTTAAAGGAACCCTAACTCACATTATTTACTATAGACTCTAGACCCCCTGTTGTGGTAACTTAAGTTAACCCCTTTCAACAAGAATCCAGACTAGATGACTTCGGAGAGTCCTGGGCCCCGATCCCTACAGTAGAAGCCCAAAAGTTGGAAACCTCAATCCTTAAGAGCAATGTACAGGGAATCCCGGCACTATTTGGCCTTAATCCGGTTTCCAACTTTATGGGGTTTACTGTACTATAATTCAGGGTAGCTTCCTTAATGAACGGATATTGGAGTCTCTCAAAATGGGAGTTTCCGAAAATTGGGGGACCCTAATATACTACCCAAAATAGTAGGACCCTTATTGTAAGGACCCCCAAATAAGGTACCCCTATTTTCGGAAACTCCCAAATCCCACCAGAGGGCTTCGGGAGAACCCTTGGGCTCCCAGAGACTCCAATAGCCCTTAATTAAGGAATATTCCTTAAATCAAAAAGGGATCCTACTATAATTTACGGTATATTCCTTAACTATGGGATATTGGAGTCCCTGGGCTTTGCGTGAGGAGATCCCAGAGCTTGAAAGCGCTTTCAAGGAGACTGGGAAGGCCCAGCTAGGAAGAAAAAAAGGGTTTACTTGGAGGGTCGGGGGACTTAGTATAACCCCAATTAGGGTCCCTTTTAGGGTACTTATAAGTCTACTTACTACCTACTTGCTAAGTCCCCCGACCCTCCAAGTAGGGTCTTAGGGTTTGGGGTTTCGGGGTTTAGGGTTTAGGTGTTTAGGTTTTAGGGCCATTTTCCCGGCTGATTGCAAGAGTCCTGGATGCAAAAAGGTTTTAGGGCCATCTAGAACAATAAAAAGTTAATACCGGGGCCTAAATACTTACCAATACTACTTTGGGGGTTCCCTTAAAGTGTCTATAAGGCGTACTATAAGGGATCTATAAGGGTACTATAATGTACGGGCTTCAATAATTACCAATACTATTTTGGTGGTTCCTTATTCAAAAATTTTAGTATAAAGGGCCCCACAACCCTCTATTTACTAAGGCCCCTGCGTTAGGGCCATACCCTAAACCCGAATAGTAAGTAAACCATCGTCTGCCCAAAAGGCCACTGAGAATGGGGTTTAGGGTCACAGGGTTGGGGTTTGGGGTGCCAGGGGTCAGGGAGAAGTTGGCAGGTTTCAGTATAGGACCTTTTACCAAAAAACCACAAGGTTTGGGGTCATGCGGCCTGGCGTTTAGGGAGATCTTGGGTTGGTTCGGGTATCGTAGGAGCTTTGTTGGGGCTTTTTCAGGGTTCTTTGACGGGTAGTTACAATTACAAAGGGTCTATATAAAAGGTTTCTTGGGGGGGCGGGGTCGAGGTCTTGGATTCAGGGTCAGGAGGGTTCCTTTCTGGTGGGCTTAGGTTCGTTGGCAAGTTGCGAGTTCGTGCACCCCAAAACCTTCTTCTACTTATTGAGGTCACAGTTGATTTTACTGCAATACTGCTCTTTCAACCCTTCTCTTGTGCGATTGCCTCGTATCGATCACCGAATATGGCTGAACAACATGCATGTTTCGGACTAGCGGTAGACGTGGAAAACCGTAGCTGCCAAACCATGAGGCCATCGGACCCTAGTAGAATGAAAGTATCCTCAAGAAGAACCTCCGCCCCTTTGCTGTATATACACATCCTCCACCCCACGACTCTAAGACTTGATGAAGCCCTGAAGCCGTGAAACACAGCAAAAGCCTCCGGCCAGGTCGTCTACAGCGCAGCCGAGCATTTAGTGAAGGCGCTCGAAGTGAGCTTTGCAATGAGGTTGCCGGGTGTGTGTATGCGACCATGGCCGTCGTCGTCGTCATCATGAGCGGCAATATCACTGTCGTCAAACGTCATCGTCATCACCCTTACCGCGGCCATCATTATCAGTATCATCCTGAGCAGCAGCAGCAGCGGCAGTAGCATCACCCTCGGCAACATCTTCTCCGTGTGTAATTATTATGTACACCCTTAAGATCAACAGTTGCATAAATATGAGTAAGCAAATATATGAATACATGTGCATATCTATGTGTTTACTTATGTGTATTTATATATATGTATGTACGGACAGGGAGAGAGAGACAGAGAGAGAGTGGTGATATTTACATATTTAGATATAGGTATAGATATAGATATGTGTAAATATATATATATATACATACACATACACATGGAAAGATAGATAGACAGATCGATCGATAGATCGATAGATTCAGAGTGAGAGAAACATACAGACCGACGGATAGCTGCATAGCCGCCTGTAACGCATCAAAATCTCGTTTGCAGGCTGAAGGCCTGCAACGAGGCATAGAACATCAACCGAGCTGTTGCTGAAAGGGGTCCAAGCTTGGTCCTGGGGTCCCTTGATAAGGGTTTTTAACTTAAGATGAAAAAATGAGGAAACCGTATTGCTTGCTTACTATAGATCCCCATTATGATAACTTAGGGGCCGAGTCGGGGCAGGACTAGCTTCTCTGGCTCAGGTAGTGTAGGGATTCTATCTCGAGTCCGAGACTGCCTGGACTTTACATTACTGACGCCCCCCGAACCCTACACCAGGAAATGCTGACTCCACTGCACCCTAAACCATCGGCCCTAAGCCCTACACCAACTCAGACAAAAACGCAACAGAGAGATCGACGAATTCTTTCGCCCTGCAAAACGACGAAAGAAGCACAGTTCGCTAAAAAATTCTGCCAAGATTGCCTCGAACCTCAGGGTTTCATTTTACACGTCCCATTGCACGGAATTTCAGAGTTCCACGTCCCAATTCTCAACCCTTGACCCAATCACCCCTAAACTTGAGCCCCCAACTGAAAGATCGGTTGATCAAAAGACTAACGGCTCTGCGCTTCTGCCTCAAGCCAGGAGTGCGATCGGCTAGTCGAGTCACAGCATCCCGGTGCCCTGGACGCGTCAGGAAGGTGACGTGGTTCTTTGTGTTATGTTCACTTTCTGGCGTGCTATTCTATTATACTTATAATGAGGAACCCCAAATTGTGTAGACAATCAATGTACATGTAAGTACAGCGCCATGGGTGCCGCAGGGTTGTTATTGGACTTTATAGCAGAATGCGCGACGTTACCCTGAGGGTCCATGAACACTAGAGAACACCAGCTAAGACCCTCCATTACGCAAGTCCCTTAAAACCAACGAAAGGCAGAGAAATCTTGATAGGTATGCGGGTCCTTAGGTTTAGATTTCTGAAGCTTGCAAAGTTTCAGGGAGGAGCCTTTTGGATGACATGGAGGTTTGGGGGCTAGGACTATGGCGAGTATTTGGGGTCTAGGGTTTGGGCCGCAGTCTAGGGTTTAGAGATGTTTAGAGTTTGTTTCAGGGTTTAGGTCGTGGGTTATGGGTATGCATGCAAGGCTTAGGGGTTTAGGATTGGAGTTCAGCATTTGTAGTCTGTGTGGGCTCCTCTAGTGGTGGTTCGGTGTTTTCATGGGGCGAGCTACCACAGTGGCCCATATTATGTTAGGATAGCCTGTCTGGGAGCTGCTTTTCGGGATGCCGGGGCAGCCTGCTTTCAATCCTTAGTTGCACTCTTTAGCCGCCGAGGGCATGGACAGCGGCTCTACAATGCCGCCGCCCGAGTACTTCGTTGGGTTTGTTGTATGTCCAGGGTCCAAAAAGATAATAAGGGAACCCAGGTATCGAAACAAAGGTACTACGGTTCTACAGATATTGAGTCGTTTAAGCGGCTTAATCCTTTCCTTGGTAAAGCTGCCACACCATCTGCTGGGTGAAAGTGGTATGTAGTTATTTAGTTCAACCTTTATCTGGCATTCCAGAGGCGAATCTCCAGTGCCCAGGAATTACTATGAAGGAAGTTGATGCTACCCAAACAGGCAAGAGAGCCTTGCAATGGTATATGTTCAGATAGGCTTCCTTTGGAGACTGTGCCATAGCGTAGCTGCATCAAGGAAACTGAAAGACGGAAGCTTCTCTCAGCCTGTGCCACTTCGGGCCAGACCCCAGACCCCTAAACCCTGAAACCCTAAACCCTAAAACCCTAAACCCTAAACCCTGAAACCCTAAACCCTCAACCCTGTGCACCATATCCTTCAGCCCTGATCCCCAAACTCTAAACCCTGAGCCCCAAACCCTAAACCCTCAACCCTTAATCCTAGGCGGGGCCGTTTCCATGGGAGCTCAGCGGAGCCTAGAGTTGCATGGCCTTTCCACTCTTAGGCCGACAGGGATGGAAAGTTATGCTGGGTCCGCCTGTAATGGTATTCCATTAAAATGAAGATCCCCAGTATTGAGTGTTATCCCTAGCTTGAGTATTGTTTCCTGTATATGTACACTGTACATAATATATAAGTGCTGTTTACTTTGTTATGTACATCCCTCAACAACTTTAAATGTACTCCTGAACCCTGCTCGCACCGTTCCGGCCCCTGTATTACCCAAGATCCCGGCACATGTAGTACCTGGGGCGTTTTCCTTAGTTCTCCGATACCAAACTTTTAAACTTTTGGGGTTCTTATAGCTTAGTAGTAATCTGAAAGTTTAACCTTTTATTTCTGTGGCTATTGGGGGAGTAAGTTTCGCGATCTCTCGTGAGCGTCCTTGCCGGGCGAATGAGGGAAACCCCCTAAACCATATTACAGTACAAGCCAAAAAGTTGGAAACCCCATAGCCTCAATCCTTAAGAGTAGTGTAAAGGGAATCCCAGCTCTATTTGGCCTTAATCATTTTCCAACTTTATGGGGTTTACTGTATATGGTTTTTTGGAAGTTTGACGTTCACTAGCGGTCCATGACTGCAGACCTAGCCGCGGCTTCTGCTTTAAGTGCCGGGGGGGCCTTGCATCAATCCTGCTACCCGCATTTAGGGTTTAGGGTTTGGAGTTTCCCCGCCTTCTTATTGCTGCTATACACAGGGTATGCTTGTAGATTGCAGAAAGCCATGTGGGCGAAACGCTAGAGAATATTGCAACCACCCATGAATCCTGCGGAACCAAATCCGATAAGATTCGTGAACATTCATGAAATCCTCGAGAAATCCTTGCAGATACACCTGTTTTTACACACGGTGCATACGTATGTACATACAGCAAGATACAGATATGTACATGGACATCATCTCAAGCATGTGTTTGTGTACTTCATAGCCTATGAGTTTGTTTGTTTACGTCGCCATATGCTTCAACCCACTAAGCCGCAAGAAGGCTGCATTCACCGACTCCCGTATGCTCGCAGGGCGCTTCTTGCCAGAAGACGACGAATTCAGGATTTCTAGGTTTGCACTTGGGGAGGCTTTTGGGTCTCTTTTAGGGCCTATCCCATAAAGTGTCCTTTAAGGGAGGCTTCCCTTAAGGGTCTCTAAGCATGAAGATATTGGGGAGATTCGACAAGATGGGTCGAGCCTGATACTATCAGAGGCGGAGCTGTGGCCTATTGGGGGCCCTTTAAGAAGCTAGGATGCCCGGTAGTACCCTTATTCCCTTTTTGTAGTCCTAGGTTCCTTATAAAGTTACCCAATACCAAAAAGAGAGGCCTTTTTATTCTTAGGTTACTGGGTATCCTAGGAAGGGATCCCCTCGTCGGACCGGAGACCTAAGAAACTTTGTTGGCGAAGATGTATCTACTACTTGGAAAGGGGCTCATCTGGATATTGGGACTTAGAGTTTTCACGTATGCATGAACTGAACCGGTGCTTGTTTCACGGAGTTTAGAGTCTTGCAGATCGAAGGAAGCCCGGAAGCCGAAAACCCTAAAACCCTTGCGGAAAAGTTGCAGGAGCCTCCAAAACGCCCGAAACCCGAAACACAAGAATTGCTCGCACTATTTCAGACCCGAAACCCAACCCTCAAACCGTAAACCCTAAACCCGGTAAAGCCCACAACCAAGAAGGGATCTTAGACGAGTTGATGCTGTGAGTTTCTGCAGGGTTTAGGGCTTGGGGTTTGCATAAGGCCGTTCTGCAGCATGTTTTGTACTTGCTTGCCACATACCATACTAGAACCATAGAATATGTGACTCCAGTATGCTAAACTTACCTTCAAAAATTCTTATACTTACTTCTCAGTTATATTATAGCCTAGAATTCTAGAGTATATTACTTCCGCATACTGCAATGAACCCTAAACCCAAAACCCTGTGCTTACCTTCAGATGTTGTTTTCTCATTCCCGCAAGATATGTTTCACTCAACAGACCTCGAACCGCATGCCTCGCCTGGATTGTCCGAGTGTGAGCGCCGAAACCCTAGAAGCCCCGCCAAGCGTAAACAGCATAAGCCTTAAACTCTATAAACCCTCTTCTAAACCCTAAAGAGCCTAAACTCCATGAACCTTAAACCCTAAACCCTGAACCGTAACTGACTAAGCCCTGAACCCTAAACCCCTAGGCCCTTAAACCCTAAACCTTCAAGCCCAAGCCCTACATAGAGCTTCGCCCTTGCCGAAAAGCCTAAACCGTTATACTAATCCGGGGCTTTCAGATTTCGAAAACCCATAAACCCTTAAACCCTAAACCGTGATACAGGGCTTTCAAATTTCGAAAGGCTCCCCAAACTCCCTAAACCCTCTAATCCCTAAACCCCTAAAACCCTAAACCGTGATCCAGGGCTTTCAGATTTCGCCCAGGCTTGCTCCACTAGTTCCCCCATAGATCCCTTTAAAGGGACCCCGAATCCCCAAGCCATGATCCAGGGCTTTCAGATTTCGCAGAGGCTTGCTCCACTACTTCTCTCCAAGTCCGAGCTCCTCGCCGGATGATGCCTGGTGCGGCTGGCACAACGTCGGGGGCCCCTTTCTTAAAAGGTTTAGGGGTTTATATAGGGGTTTAGGGTTTGGGGCCCCTTTCTTAGGGTTTAGGGGTTTATATAGGGGTTTAAGGGTTTAGGGTTTGGGGCCCCTTTCTTAGGGCTTTCACGGCTTCAGGGGTTGAGGGGCTTTTAGGGCTTTTGGGGGTTTAGGGGTTTAGGGTTTGGGGCCCCTTTGTTAGGGAGCCAGGGCTAGAAGGGTTCCTTAATTAGGGATCTATAGGGTTTTGGGATGACGGGGTTTAGGGTTTAGGGTTGAGGGGGTGTAGGGTTTAGGGTTTCAGGGCTGTCAGGGCTTCAGGGGTTGAAGTTTTTCAGTGTTGCGGGTGCTGGGGTTTAGGAGTTTAGGGGTCTAGGGTGCCAAAGTTCAGAGCGTTTAGGGTTTTGGGTGGTCTACGGCGTGCAGGGCCTAGGGGTTGAGTCAAAAAGACTGTTTTGGGTGTGAAAGTTTTGAGATTTTTGGTTGGGAGGTTAAAGAGTTTCGGGTGTAGGGTTTAGAGTGCCGAAGCTTCGGGCTCTTGGGTTTGGGGTACTGCGATGTTGGGTATAGGGTATAGGGTCGGGTTTGAGGTTCAGGGGTTAGGCTTTTTGAGTTTAGGGATTTTGGGGTTTGCGGTTTGCCAGAGTGGACCTAAGCTTGAAAGTTCCGGCTTTTCGTTGTCTAAACCCTGGAAAACCACCCGAACCCAGCACAAAACAAAGAGCTAGATTTTTGTTGTTTTTTATGTGAAGGTCCCTAAACCCTAAACCAAGATCCTCGTCTCAGCAACCCTGAGCCAGGATCCTCGTCAAGCTTGTCCCAGTTGTAAGTGCTGAAAATCCTCCGTGGACCCTAGAATCCTCGAATGGGGGACCTCTTTCGCAGTTCCAGCTCTATGGTTCGGAGCCGATAATCATGAACTAACGTAGTCATTGAAGCGGACTAGAAACCCTAACCCCTAACTGTACCTTGGGGATGCTCGGAGGATGGGTAGACGCGAAACGGAGCTTTAAAAAACATGAAAAAGCACTGTGTGGTAAGACATGAGCCCTGGCTGCCACAAGGACAACAGCGTCATTACCGGCCTTGTTCCAGCCCTGTGGCTTTATGAGGCGGGTCCCTAATTAACCCAAAAAGCACCTACTTCTGCAGACCTTGCCAGGCTAGTAGGAGAGTGAGTGTCAAAAAAACCCAAGAAGCAGAAGCCGAGGCACCAGCACAGCGTAAAGTACAGGGTAGTTCTCAAGCAGGGTCCACTTTAGGCTCCTTTTGGTATAACGGTGCCATACTATTCCTGAGACTTCAAAAGGGGCTTTAATTTAGAGACTTACGCATATACTAGATTGGCTCTTCGACTCTTTGGTTCAGCCTCTCTCGCCTTCTTAAGCCCAGGGCTGGCTAGCCGAGCTCGCGGTGGTGCGTAATGCAGACAGATGATGCATGAATCCCCTTTTGCTCTAAAGGGTCCCTCATATTAAGATCCCTTCCAGGGGTCTGCAGTTTTTAATGGGAGCCTCATGTGCTTGGAACGGCTCTTGGGTGGGCCAGGTGGTGTCTCAGTGTTTGGGGTCGATGCCGGCCTACTTTGTTATGGGTTTCCCACTGGCTTCCCGGATCCCTGCTGCCCACAGAAATCTGAAGCAGGAATCGGGCGAGGAAGTGGCGTCATCCCAAGTTTCTTCCTCGGGCGGCCTATACGTCAGGCAGCCATGATGCGACCTGGGGGCGTAGCAGTACTTCGGCATTGGGGTTGCTGGCAATGCTCGTTCAGTGACTGCCGTCAGCTTGCCATCTGCGGAATACTTTCCAGTCGGCGGCATTTGTAGAGTCGAAAGTCAGCGTCAGAACATGATTTTGCTGTAATTCATCTAGTGGGAATGTAAGTATCCCCACAGGAGTCGAAGTAATACCTTAGGCAAACATATTCTACTGCCATGCCTTTCTTGGGTGATAGATCAGTTCATGTCACGTTATGCACCAGCAAAGAAGGGTAGGTTGAGGTGGTTTTGGGCGAATCTTTGGCAGCACCGGGAGAGGAACTAGGACCTAGAGTAGGCCCTTATTCCCTTTCTAACCGTTCAGGTTCCCCCTTATAAGCCCCTTTAAACCAAAAAGGGCACCCTTTTATTCCTAGGTTATTCTTGGGTCTAGGGAAAGCTTGCGGCCGGAGGTTTGTTCTTCTCCTTGGGTTTTGGGCTATCTTGAGTTTCAGTATTGCATGTGGGTAGTTGTCAAAATTGGGGCCCCTATTTAGTTACCCTACATATTAGGTGCCGTATTATATTAGGGACCCCAAAAGGGACCATAATTTTGACAACCACCCATGTGTACTGGCTAGACCTCAGACCAGCGGTAGAAAAGGGTAGGATGTATGTAGAGCGTCAGAGTGTGCGAGCCATTCAGCTTGTTCAAGAGTGGGTCAGTTTTCGGGCATGTGCCCTTGATTATCAATCCCAAGGCCATGCTTGTTTAGGATTGTCTTTGGGCACGAAAGCCTGGAATATCAGTTATTACTGGTTTCTTAGTGGCTTCGGATCGGCGTGACCTGAGCAGACCTTCGGCACAAGCCGGAAAGCGTCAACCCTAAACCCCTCGCGCCGAAACCTTTCTCAGCAGACCTCGAACTACATGCCTCGCCTGGATTGTCCGAGTGTGAGCGCCGAAACCCTAGAAGCCCTGCCAACCGTAAACAGCAAAAGCCCTAAACTTCTCTAAAGCCATCCTCTAAAGCCTCAAACCCCAGACCCTTGAACCCTAAACCCTAGACCCCTAAGCCCTAAACCCTCAAGCCCAAGCCCTACATAGACCTCACCAGGGCCCGAGACCGCAGCGTGCTGCGGGTGGCGTTGCCCAGCGACTGCTTAGGCAGGGTTTAGGCTTCAGGGGTCGGGGCCAAGGGGTGGAGGAATTAAGGCTTTAGACTTCAGAGAGACCTCGTTCAAAAAGGCTTTAGTGCTGATAGGCTTGCAGGGGTTATATATTCAGCTTGTATCACTTCAATAGCTCTGAGGGCAGGGTCTTGCCAGTGTTTGAGATTTATCGACGATTCAGGGTTGCGGTGCTTCGTCAAGGGTAGTCATTCAGTCCTGAAGTTTGTGGCTTTCCTAGACCCGCGAAGGTTTTTTGTACCTGTTATTGCTTACCCTAGTTTCCTTGTTGTGACATCTTAACCGTTCTTACCCATACGATAGTTTATCCAGAAAATGTTCGAGATGAAAGGACCTAGATGAGTGCCCTACACGCAAAAAGCCTTAAGCAACGCGTATGTGTCGGTAGGGCTCCTTGATATGACTTGCTTACTTCGGATTTGGAAGTTTCAAGGTTCAAGTGTTTCCGTCCACAACAAAGGGGCTCCTGCGGTTAATGTACGGGCCTTAGGAACATGTTCATGGTTCTACAAGTATAGATGATAAGGGTTCTACAACATCCGGTTCTACATGAAATTGAAATGTACTGTCAGGGTATAATAGTGTGTGGCATTCACATTCGGGACTAGAGGGGCATGATGTTACCATAGCAGTTCCGATCACGTTGTAACGAAACTGGTGTGAGAGTGGTGGCTGTCGCCACGGCCCATGGAGACTTCGAGGTGCTCGTGGAGTTCAGGTTTGGTATCCCTAGTAGTAGAGTAGGTAACCTTTAACCGTTTATTCTTTTTTTGGGTAGTATAGGGCCTATATAACCCCTATATAACCAAAAAGGTTAACCTTTAGTTCCCCATGATACCCGACAAGTAGGTATAATAGTATAAATCTAGTAGAGTAGTTTTAAATTCTCCGAACCCCCGGTCTGATAGAGCCTCCAATACTTTCGGCTCTATGTTAAGATGGTTTAGGGTTTAGGGTTGGGTACTGCCCCCACTGAGTAACAGTTGGATAATCTTCATAATATAGATATGTCAGGACCTTAATAGTAGCCCTATTAAAGACTGCTACTGTATGCGGGCAGTATCCAAGTTTAGGGAATGTATGGGTCATGCCAGGCTTCCAAATCGGGGAGGCTGCGCAGATCATTAGCGGAGGCCGCTGATTTTTCAAGTTTGGCCTGGGGTTTAGGGCTTAGGGCCTGTAGACACACCAATTTCAAGTTTGCACTCATTTAGACTCTAGGTGAATCAAGGCCTGGTCATTTCTTGTCGTCGAGGGCTGGAAGGGCTTGCAGTTCAGCCTTTTCGTTTTACGGTCTTTTGATGTGGCTTGTTGGCTATGGTTTTCATGCCTGTCGCATAGGCTAAGTCTATACTTTTTCAAGCCATCAGCAAACAGGCATGACCTTCTCGTCCTCCCAGGCAAGCTGTGGTTTCGTGAGGCTCTAGCTCTTAGGCCCGAAATCCGAAGCGGAAAGGCAGGATACCACAAAGCCAGCAACAAAGGCCACAATTGCCTCTTCAAGTTTGTTGTTCTGACGGCTCCCTGGCAAGTGCAAGGGTAGACTACTGGCTGCATGTCGAGCCTGACACATCCGATTTGCAACCGGCCGTTCCTGGACCCTAAGAAGCCAACACTTGTAGGTTCCTAATTGGGTCTTCAATCTTCCTTATATCGTTCCTTAAGCTAGGTTTGGGGGGGAGTTGGGGGCTGAGGGTTTAGGGGTAGCTTAAGGTTCAGGGTCTGGGCTTAGGGTTGAAGCTAACTTGCTATTGCATGTGCGGCAGAGGCTGCTTGTGACTTGCACTTAAGGCGAGTTGAAGGCCTCAGCCACTTAAGGCTCTTAAGGCCTATGTCGCTTGGTTCCGGCTCTACTCAGGATGAGCACCAAGTCAAAGCAACAGGATCCGACCCTCGTTGGATTTAGCTTTTCAATGTTATAAATTAGAAGCTGCCCCCACCCTGTAATGGTGGTATAATAGAAATGAATACAATAGGGCCCTATTATAATCCTTATAGTCACTATTACAGGGTGGGGGCAGCTTCTAAGTTATAAACCTTACCGCGTGCCTTACCTCAGCCGAATTCGAAGGCGTTCTCGTTGCAACTCCTCACCAAGTGCGGTCTCACCAGCGATCACCCGGAGACAAGGCCAGTCCTTCTTGCAGCATGGAAGCTAAGCGAAGGGGGCCTTTAATGGAGGGAGGTGCCTTTTGTAAATTTGGGAGTTTCGAGAATAATTAATGTGATTCCTCAGGGCTCCTCATTGAGAATCAGTCTGAGTATACTGTATTCCACCCGCAAACCCTCTCTTGATTACTTAAGACCCCTTTTCAGATGAGCTCTTGGAGCTCTTCAGTCAGGTATGCCGCAAGGGGATTTATGGCAGGGTTCAGGATTCAGGGTGTAGGGTTAAGGGCTTCTCCTCGCAGCACAGAAGGGTCCAGGTTTTAATGTTCGGTTGCGGAGAATGAGCTCCTTTCCCGCATCAAGCAGTATTCCGCACACCTCCAGAGGACCGATCAAAAGACCCGGGTGTCGGATGCTGTGAAAGCTTCGTATGTACCCGGGCTTGGCAACACCTAAACGCACTGCGCCAGTGCCAACAAACCCTTCAACTTCACGCGAGAGTGAGAGACGAAAGACCGGCTGTGAATCCTAAAGCCTTAAGCTTCAGCCTAGTAGTAGAGTAGGCAACCTTTAACCTGTAACCTTTTTTGGGTAGTCTAGCCCCGACCAAACCTCTATATAACCAAAAAGGTTAACCTTCAGTTCCCCATGATACCCGACAAGTAGGGTTAGACTAGGCTCAGAAGCTTCGCTTCACAACTTTCGAAATTTTTACCAATCAGGGGTCCCCTTCTCTTTCTTGTATTCTCGCACGCTATTTCGTGCAGTCTTCGTTGTGTCCATCTGGGTGCTTCCGTATCTTCCACCACTCTCAAGAGGGTGTACCTTGCAAATCGACCTGGCCAAGCGTGGCAAGGGTGCGGAGACCCACACAAAACCCGATGCTTTCATCCTCTGTCAAACGAACCACGCGTGAACAAGTCAATGCAACGGCAAGCGACAACTTTGTGTCGTCAGCTGAAGCAGAAAAAAGATGAACGGCGCGATAGCCATTCGCCTGCGCATGGTAGGAATATGTAAGAATGCGACAGGGCGGTTAACACTCTGTGCGTTGCTCGGCTGGAGTAGAAGCACAGTCATGATGTCGCCATGACGATTCGGTTTGGATGTCCGGGTACCACCGGTGGACCTGGCCGGAGCGCTGTGGGGTGACGATAATGTAGGAGCCTTAATGATTACTGTAGAATTTAGAATAGGGTTTCTGGAGATTGTAAAATACAGTTATAATCAGGAGCCACCAACATAGTATTGGTATTTAATCATTGAGGCCCCCATATTATGTGTTGGCTTTTGGGTTTGCAGTTTGGGCTTCCGTGTGCTTGTGCTCCGGTGGAACTTATGTCCGACAGTCCTCCAACCAGTTAGAGATGAGTAGGCGCACTTCTCTTTTGTGCACCTGCTGGTTCACCTGCTAAAAGCAACAGACTGCATCTGGCAAGACCCCCAAACCCAAAACCCTGTGAAGACGGAGGCATAAGACCTGCAGCGCCAACAGGTTGAACTCTCAAGACTCTTCAGGCTTGTGGTCCCAAAGTCTGGGAGTTTCCGAAAATTAGGGGTACCTTATTTTGGGTCCCTATAATAAGGATCCTACTATTTAAGGCACTATGGTAGGGTCCCCTATTTTCGGAAACTCCCATCTGAAGTGATTTGGCAAGTTCGAAATATCGTCGCCTTGTTTCTCGTCTTAAAGTAAAAGCCAGAAAGTTGGAATATGATTATCCTAAACCCTTTATGGTAAATTATAAGGTATCCTACCCTGAAACCATATTCGAACTTTCTGGAGTTCCCTTTACTTTCGAGAGAGCATGATCTTTAAGGAGGGTTGCCTGCGCTTTGTACTCCAGGCCATTTGCCGCGAAACCTTCGCGCTGCCTCCTGCCTGAAGAGCAATACTCGTGCATGAGGACGGCTGCTAAGGCTCCAAGGACTCACATTTTAGAGCTCTTGCTGCCGAAGACCATACTTTATCATGGTTGTAGGCAATGTGGTGCAAAGGCCTACACTTGCCATAGAACTGAAGCCCCAGCCCCGAGCCTGCAAAACATCCTTAACCCCAAAACCCCTACACGCTAGCTGCAATGTCAGAAGCCCATTCCCTGATGCAACAGTGGAAGAAGCCGTAGAGCCTCTAGCTTGTCAACAAGCTTTGTCAAACCCTCCCCAGCAGCACCCAACCATGTATCATGACCAAAATGCCTGGTCATACTTGCTTCAAGCCAAACCCAGAAACCGCACCGCTTGGCCTCCCTCTGATCCTAGGGCTTCTAAAAAAAGGCGTAGGTTTTCCCCACCTTGTTTAGGGTTTCGGTTTACAGTGCAAGCCCAACAGTTGGAAACCCAATAGTAGTTGTCCTTATTCCGGTTTCCAACTTTTTGTGGCTTTCTATAGTATAGGAGTTTCGGGTGTAGTTTGTTACGTCTTGCTTCGTTCTTGCAGCAGCCTTGGCAAGATCAAGGAGATTTTGGAATGTTGAGGGCCAAGCAGTAATAAATTATTGGGGTTGATCAAAATTATGGGCCTTTTTGGGGGTGTGTGTTGTAATATGTTCCTTATAGTTTAGGGGGCCAAAAGGGTCCATAATGTTGATAAACCCCCAGTAAACCCAGACGGAGCAAGGATCCTTGCATCCTTGAGTGCTGGCCATGCTCTTCTTACGGCATAGACCAGCCCTGCCAGCCACCTCTCATATCAACTTCGTCATATATCGAGGATGGAAAGCCGCAAACGCTGAACCCTAAACTTTCCTTTCGCTGGCTAGATTTGAATAGCGAACCATCCTCTCCTGAAGCCTGAAGCCCAGGTTCATAGAGCCGCAGTGGGACGCCCCCATTGGCCCGCCCAAGGGTGTCGGCTACGATGCCGTGCGTGTGCCCAGCATCCTTCAGTGAGTTGTTTCAATCTCGGTTACTTCCACCTTCAACTTTTTTGATTACACGCACCGTCAAGGTTTTCGATAGCGCAGCGGCAGCTTTCAGGGCTACCACTGCTCATTGTGAATTCAGTTTTGGGCTTTCCCGGCTTTCGGCTTTTCATTGCAGTGCTTCTGACACCAACCACCAGCTGTATCATCGAGGGTGTACCAGGAGATTGCCCTGTTCCGGCATCAGGCCTCCCGGCACCCTGAACCCTAAACCCTAAACCCCTAAGCCCTAAACCCCTAAACCGCTTCCGGAGATGCTCAGTTCCAGACATCGATGTTTCAGGGTGTCAAGGGCTTTCGGGTGTAGGATGTGGGTCACGGTTTAGGGCTTATAGGGTTTGGGGTTCAAAGAAGGGGCTTGTTTGCCAGCTGATCCTTAAACCCTGGGCCCGCATTATCAGCCCTGTAAGCCCTAAACCCTGATCGTTAGGGCTGAAAGGCCAAGGGCTTCCAACTTAGGGTTCAGGGTTGAATGCCCTGATCTCAAGGTAGTCTGTCCAGGCTTAAGTCCAGTAGCAAAAATATGCCCTGATCATCAACAAGGGAACTATGTGTTACGGCACCTTGTATTCAGCAACGGGAAGACACTCTTGAGCAAGGGTTCCCCTGAACCACAAGCCCTAAGCTTTCTTGTAGCAGTCTTTTCATACATGAGAAGCATCGAAAACCATGGTGTGATGGCCCCAGACCTTAAGATGGCTTCTTCAACACGTGCCATGGGGTTGACTGTCAGGTTCACCTTGCATTCTAGGGCTGTGGATGCGACAAAATCCCCAGGGATCGAGGAGCGTTTCGAAAGATCACAGACCCTAGCGTTTAGGGATGCAGGCTCTCTGTATGGTCCTATAAAGAAAGCCGCAATATGAGCACGCAACCCCTAAAGCTTGAATAAATATTATCCTAGCACCCTCAACCCAAAGCTCTGATCCTGCTACCTGTGCCCTAAACCTTCCACACTAACCTGTATATTATGGGAACTCCCTCTAGTCAGGAGCCAGAATGTTTTTTGCCTTGGTTAACACTGGAAGGCTATTCCGTACGGTTCCTTCTTACAACTACAGTATGATGTACACCAGAAAGCCTATTCCCAAAATCACGGCCACTACATGGCTTCATGCGCTTAGTTGCTTCAATGCAGGTGGCGCCCTGCCAATGCCTGCGAGCACGTACTTTTAGTGTTTAAGGTTTCGGACTTTGGCTTTACAATACACCTTTACCTTAACCTCAATCACCTAGCTTTTTATGGACTTATATAAAGAAATCATATTAGGGAACCCTAAAAAACGTAGCTTCCTTAGGTTCCAGCCCGGTATAGAAACCGTTATAGATCCCTTTAAGGAACCGAAAGAAGGCCTTGTGCTGCAGAAGCCCTAGTTTCTGCAGATGCATTCTGCGCCAAGCCCCAAAGTTCCCCAGCCCCGGTGGTAATTTAGGGCGTGGAAGGTCTAAATATGTATAACCATACAGAAATGTGTATATGTATGGTTAAAAATATATACACACACCAAATGGGGGCATTTATGGTAGTAAGTATCCTCACACCTGTACGGGATGTGCGTGTTCGGGCACCAGGCTCTACTGCCACCACCACGGCTGTAGCATCTGTCTCATGCCATCCCCGAAACCCTAACTTAGATAGATAGTGAACGCCAAGTAGGAGGGAAAAATAGATAGTGAACGGGGGAGCTTGAAACTTTCTGGCCTTATATATTAGCTCTATCCTAGAAGTTTGAACTTTGTGGGGCCCGGTTGTTGAAGAAGAGAGCTAATCCTCAAGGTCCTGAAGGAGGAGGAGCAAGAGTTGATACCACCGCTCTCGAAGAGGCTGAAGAGAGGCTCATCTTAATCCGGTGCTTGAGGCTCAGGTGTTTAGGGTTAGGGGCTTGGTAAGTCTTACTTCAACCCCAAAGAACTTGCTGTTATTCAAGATTTCTGATGTATGTAGGAAAATCACAATATGGAGCCCCGAAAAGGTAGGTTCTTAGGGGTCCGAATAGGTTTGCAACTGAATACTTCACGATGTTACATCTCGGGATTTGCGGGCTGGGAGTCCTGACTCTTGAGCACCTGGATTAGGCAGATTGCCGCAGAGGGTTTGCGGTTTAGGGCCTGAGATCCAGGCGGGCATATACAAGTCTGTGCAAAAAAGGGCCTGTTTCAAATCTTTGTGAATCCTTGCCGGGGTACAAGAAACAGGTCATGTTCTCGCCAGGCAAGCCGGAAGGCCTATGAGCCCGCCGCTTTTGCCCAGGCATAACATTCTTGCTGCTGTTCACTGAACCTAGTTGATGTATTACCGGATCGTAGCAGCAACCAAAACACTTTCAAGGGCACAAGCAGAGCATACACGATCCTGAATGCCTGAGTGTTCATGCATGTACATACCCTCCGAAGCCGTGAATGGAGTCAGGTCACTTTGTTTTCCAACCAGGGTTTGGCTTGGGCGGTTGAGAACTTGTGCCGTCCGACAAGGTTTCCGTGCACCCTGCCCCGGGGCACCAAATGATGTCAAGCACCAGGAAGTAGGTGCGTGTGTTCATATTTTAGAATCAGGCAGATACACCCTAATTTATAAACCCTAGTCCCCAGCGCACAGAATGCCAAGGAACACCACCTGACGTCTCTCCAGTGGTCTTTGGCGAGTACCTGGGGAGCTCTTTTGAGGAGTACTACAAGCACAACAACTGACGCAGAGTCTAGGCTTCGAGTTAAGGACAGGGTTTAGGGGCTAGGGGTGGCGTTTAGGGAAGTTTAGGGTCTAGGCTTCGCGTGAAGGAGCTAAAGGTATGGGGTTGTGGGCTTTGGGTCTAGGCTCCGGGTTAGGGAGCTAAGAGTTTTAGGATTTAGAGAACCTTCAAGCATCAGCTCTCATTTCTTAGTTCTATGAAAATAAACAAAAACAAGCAATTACTAGGTACTGTATGCTAAGGACGACAAACTACTTCGAATGCTCAAATCTCGAAGACTCTGCTGTCAAAGCTGTACCTCAGTTCTCACCTCAGTCATCTTTGTGGAGGACCGGGGCCGGGAGGACCCAGCGGCCGACTCCGTACATCTCAAAAAAGGGTGGAGCCCAAACCATACACACCCGTGGGCCCAGTGTCTGAGATCGCGCAGCCTGGGGGGACGCTTCCCGTCGGTGCAGAGATGTAGAGCTTAGGGTGTAGGGCACTTGACGTGTTTATCTGGAAAGAGCTGCGTTCTTCAAAATGCTTGTGCTCAATTGTAATTGCTTGCTTAGGTAGGCTACTTCGCTCTGGTTCTAGGTGGGGAGATCTGCTCGTTTAGTACCGTTTTGAACTGTATCTTATACTTCGCTCCTGCACATAGGAGTTCGTCAGGCCTAAGTTAAGTCGTGCATTCAGGCTACAGCTTTGGAGGTTGAGGTTTAGGGTTCAGGGGTTTAGGTTTTAGGACCCTACCGGCTCATGGGGGCACTCCAGAGAGACCTCGTTCAAAAGGGTTTAGGGTCCAGGGGTTGAGGGAAATAAGAATTCGAGACAAGGGTTTCGGGCTTCAGGCCTCCAACCTCGAAGGCGACTAGAAGACAACCGTAGAAGGCCGCAAACCCCATGACAGTAGTTAGTCGAATGGTATGAATATGACAAAAAAGCATTCATTGACTTCGAGCTGCCCAATATATGCATACCGCATACTGTACCCAATGAGGTCAATAGCAACCCTATCCATGAACAACTCTAGCGTCATGACGACAGACCCTCGACCGTGTTTGTTCACGAAAGCCTACACCCACAAGCCCCGGATGTCAAGAAAGGCATAAGTACCGACAGTGTTCCTTGTAGGGTTGCCTATATGCCAGGTCATGACTGCATGGTATGATATACCCCTCAACACCCTTTTCTAATCATCCAGGCCCTCTTTTCTAGCAAGCAGGCCCTCGGCAGGGAATCTTGAGCCCTTAAACCCCCGAAATCCTAATCTTTCAGCCCCTCCAGCCCAAACACCCCAAACCTTGAGCCGAGAAACCCGAAACCCTCAAATCAGACCTCGAACCACATGCCTCTCCTGGTCCGTCAGAGTGTGAGTGCCGAAACTCGATGCCTTGAGCCGCTAAACCCTACTTGGAGGTTCATGGGTAGTTGTAAGTAGGGCTATAAGCTGGCTAATTATACTTATAACCCATAGTAGTAGGGGAACCTAACTTATAACTACCCATGAACCTCCAAGTAGAGCCTCAGCCCTGACGCCTCCGGCCTTCCCAACAAAGCAGTAAGCCGCTTGGGCTTGTAATTCATCCAGCCCAAAGGGTCCATGTGCTCACGTGGTAGATACTTTGGCTTCAGAAAACCTACTCTTTCAATGGCTTATAATGCGGAGATCAGCATAAGGAACCCTAAAATAGGATTAAATCAGTAGCTTTTGCAGGGTTCAGGCATACTTTGGCCTGAAATCAGTCCATACTGGCACTTTAGGGCCGAAGTACATGCCATAAGGGTACGCCGACCCTTAGGGAAAGAAGAAGCCGGGCCCAGCATTCCAGCTGTGTTGATGCGTTTTAAGGTTGATGCTCCGACTTCCCTTTTCACCAATTCCTACTTCGCTCAAAGTCGAAGATCCCTTTCCCCTAAGCCCCAATCATGTATCCTGTAGCCCTCTAATATGACACTGCATCTTAAGGCTGGAAATAAACCCGTCTCATCGAATGACCCAAGGCTCAACTGACCATATGCCGATGCCTGAAACACAAAACCCTGCACCGTTCTTCCTCATGTGGTGTTTTAAGGGATTGACAAATAATAATGAACGCCATTCCTCAAGGCTCCTGAGCCAAACTATACGATAATATTCTCGAGCGTGTAGCGCAGTTAGTTCTTTGTTTGTGCTACTTCCACAGGCGTTGTAGCCTCTGGGCTCTATGCAGCTGTCCGTCTTACCTATGAACTTGTCAATCGTTGGAGGGACTCTCCCGTGTTTCACCGGAACAGTACGACAGCATCCTCCAAGATTTTCAAGCCTATTCTTGTTGTATACGCCGGCGACAATAAGCACTCTACACAAAGCTCAGAACCCTTTTGCAACCGTTTCGCCGCACCCGAGGCTTTTTCTCCCTGAAGCCCGGAACCGCCTAACCCACGAACCGTATGAACCCGTTACCCTAAGTCTTGCCATAGCACCGAACCGTACATGGCATGTGTTTGGGCCCAAAGGCCTTGAAATACGGATTGTCAGGCTCTCTTGGGGTTGACTCTTGTTTTTGTTTTTGCGTTGGTCCCTGCTTTGCAGTTCGCAGAAGATCGGGGCACTGTTTGCTTCCGAGCCGGTTGACCAGAAACCGAGAATCCAGCTTTATTGTGAAATGTGACACACGGAGACCTCAAGTGATGTGAGCCGTGCGCCTTGTAACCCATAATCTGGAATTAGTTGCATTGTTAAGGGTCCAGGCTGTCCAGGTTAAAATGATATCCTCTCCCGACAAGTACCACAATCCTACATTTGGGTACCCCGTTTAAAGGGGTTGTTTCGTGTCCGCAGGTAGGGCAGACAAGAGATACCTCACAAGTCGGACGAAGCCATAAATATCATTGTCATACATAGTTTCTCCCGGACTGTCAAATATGGATTTATTGGGGGTTTGACTGGTAGCATTTTTGCAACAAAGCAGCTTCATTAAGATCCTTGTCCTCGCCTTAGACCTCAAAGCATCCCGAAAGCCTTCTAGAATATCTCCGAGTAGTGTAGTAGGTAGCAGTAGCCTTTTCGCCTTTTGGGGTACTGTAACCCCTATATATTCCCAACATGTTCCAAGAGGTTCACCTTGAGTTCCCCAGGATACTGGACAAGTAGGATTTTGAACCCAGAAAAGTGGCCTGAGAGCCTGGGTAGCGAAGGCATACTCGAGGGAGTTCATAAGCTCGTGTTAGGTAAACCCTGAGCCCTACAACCCTCAACGAGGGAGTTCATAAGCCTGTGTTAGGTAAACTCTAACCTAAGCCCTAGGGCCTAAGCCCTGAGCGAGGGAGTTCACAAGCTATGTGGAGTTTCTAAAGCCCGACCGTGGTGTATCTGCAGGCTGAACCTGTACCCACAAGCCTTTCTTCCGGCTCAAAATAATAGCCTGGGATGATTATAAGGAAATTCCAAGAAGGAACGTTAAATCGACAGGTTCAATAGGGTTCAGGTAAGCCCTAAAGTCGTTGTCCGGCGCGGTTGCAGTGGGCGCCCATGGCCAGATCAGTTCTGACCACCGCCGTCTGCTTGAAGCAACGCAGCTTCCGCACCCAGAAGCCCCACTTGGAGGTTCATGAGTAGGGGTTATAAGCAGGGTAGCAACACTTAGAACCAATATTAGGGACTTATGACCCACTTATAGCACCCTTATACCTCCAAGTAAGACTCCAAGTATACAAAAAGTACCCACATTGAGCCATTTGTAGTCTTGAGAGCGGTTTTTTCTGGATTGGTGTGTGCTTTCGGGATTTGATGGGCTTGTGCGGTTTCTGTGTTATCTGTCGCCAGGCTCTAGAGCTGTTTTGGTGTTTTTTGGGATGGGTGTGTCGGGTGTTTTGTTGGGCCTGCTGAAGCAAGGGGGCAGCTTCGGGGAGTGAGTGTCAGTATATGTGTGACGTGATACAAGCTTTATGCAATCTTCAGTTGCTGTGTTTGTGAGGTTCTCGCGGACATCCTCTTTCTCGCTCATTTTCTCGCTTGCAGGCTAAGAGGGAACGAAACTAAAAGCTGCGAGGGCCTCCGTTGGGGTAATACAGGAGTGTTAATAATTAGAATAGGTTTGGATGTCTATTGTACACAATTGTAATGAGGAAACCCCCAAAATAGTATTCTGTTCTGTGCGGACAGTCGGGCCCTCGGTAGGACGCGTACCACCAAAAAATGATAGTATTGGTGTTCGGCCCCGACATTAGAGCATCTCAGAAGCTGCATTGCTTATGGCACGGTGTGAGCCGATGTATACGGGCAGCTGCTCGAAAATCATCTGCGATTCTTGCTAGCCAGTCTTGAATTCTCTGGTTTCTCGAGGTTGACGTTTGCCGGGTTCACTCCTCTGTGACATTCTTTTGCCGAGGACTCTCTTATTTCTGCATGGCCTGGGCCCTTTAGGGGTTTGCGGGCTTCATGGCACGACAGAATCTTGTCAATATGGTCACATCTGCGCCTATGGGAACGTGGCCGTGGCAATGGCTCAAAACAGAGCCGTATATCCAGATATCATGCCCTCCACCGTCGTGCTCGCAGAGCCGCCCCACCTATCTAAACCCTACTGAGCCCTGCTTGAAGCCCTCAACACTACAAGCCCGAAATCCTGCAGCTTTCTGCTGAAGTGGGTAGAGCCCCCGCCCAGACCTTCGACTGTAGGGTCTTATAATTAAAGAGGTAGATAACCTTTAACTTTTTTTGGGGGTAGTATAGTATAACCTTTAGTTCCCCAGGATACCCGACAAGTAGGAATATGACGGACAAGCCACGGACCTCTACCGTTGCTTGCGAGACTTGAAGCGCCAACACAACCAGCCCTTGCGACCCTCTTCGGAGGCTTTATTAAGAAGCCGTAGAAACCCGGAGCTTTAGACCAAGGGGATTCTAGACCGCTGGTGTACACCAAACATTGCACACCAAGAGAGAGCCTAGCCCTAAAGCTCACAAGCCTGAAGCTCTAAAACGCGGTCGTGTAGCCGACACGAACGGACCTGGCGCGCGTGTCCCTTGGGTGC